TTTCGTGCCAGATAGCGCTTCCTAATACAGCACTGAAACTGCAGGGGCTGTATTATGGTCTGAACGATGATTCGCAAGAAGCATCGGCAATGTGAAGGAAATAACGACTCTCAAAAGCCTTCGACCATCTTAATCTCGAAGGCCACACTCAGCCACCCGGGAATGCACTAGTTGGGTATGCCAAAGCGGTCCGAAATGGTCACCAGAACATACTGTTAATATGTTCAGTACATACAAGTAAATATACTTGAATAAGTTCAACAACAGCAGCACTTCCACTACGGCACATTTCGTAATTACAGTGACAATTTTAAATATATAGATAGCTTAAATAGGCGATAATTGGAAATTTTTTCATCTTTTTCATAAAACAACTATAATTTGGGAAACGATCAGTGATCCGAGACAACAGTGCGATTTTTGGACCCTCAAAGACGGTTCTCTGAGATCTTCTTTATCCACGATACTGCTTTTATCATCCAGAATATAGCTGAAACGCTCCTTGAGCTGTATGATTGCATTTGCAGGCTGCAAACTAGAAATATCCTCTATTATTCAAAAGTAATAAAGTGCGCTACAAGGAGGCGCTCATTCTTTACAACTTCAAAGAATGTACTCACTTATGTGAAAAAAGAATACAAGATGAGCGGAGTAAAACAATCCTGCTGCCAAACTTCACGAAAGATGGATATGGCAATATGATAACTACTGAAGAATTAGTCCATTGAATGCCTTTGGTGAAATTCTTATTTCTCCTCTGTTGAGCAGACTTATGATGGCTTAAGACAATAGAATGTACTTCATAAGGCTAGATTTAGAGCAGTGTGTTGAGCAAAAAGCATCAAATAGAACGGCGCTTCAAATACCGATGACCACTTCTTTGCCGTTACCTTCGGCTGGAGTGAAGCATGGCGCTCTGGAGAGTACGCAATGAGACGGCTTATATAGCTCATAGAAGCCTTCGGCGCGAGTTCGACTACGTGATGAATTAGATGTGGGGATGGCTTGTCGGCACGCAAGAGTTGTACAACGTAGTCCACAGCATAATATAACAGAACTAGAATGCGTTGAAAAATTGAGCAGTCTTTTTGCTGACAACCACAATGAACTATAACAGATGCTACACCATTTATCAATACAAAAACGACAACCGGGCGTAAATAAGTTGAAAGTATTTTATCAGAAGCTGATTTAATTCACTGCTTTAAATTATCGATTGAAGGAGTACCATTTTAAATATCTTGAATCTACTATTATAACTAACGATCAAGCGAAAGACGAAGCTCCAGCCAGAAATGCTTTCATCCTTCTTACAAAACCTTTGTGGGATTGCCGCAAAATCAGCATGAAAACACGACTACATCTATTTAGCTACAATAACTCAAGACAGTGGAAGGACACATTTAACCATTTTTTACTACCGTCTACAGCACGCGTCCACCGAATGGATGGAATCTCATATGACTGCATCCACCTTTGCTCGAATGCCATTTGCATTAACAACTTCATTATAGCGTATTGTCTATAGCATTAAAGCTATGTTCTTTACCGCTTGTCTGATGAAATATATAACTACTTGCTAAGCGCTCTGATGAATGGCGTTGGATGTCTCTTCAAAATCTGGATAGGCACGATCGGAGGAGATTTTGAAGATTTTGCATAAGCGATTCAACGGTATATAAACTTAGACGATGGAAAGAGAAATGGCTCGTTCGTTTACCTTGGCATCGGATCGAAAGGCATACTTATACCCAGTATAANTGCCGCAAAATCAGCATGAAAACACGACTACATCTATTTAGCTACAATAACTCAAGACAGTGGAAGGACACATTTAACCATTTTTTACTACCGTCTACAGCACGCGTCCACGGAATGGATGGAATCTCATATGACTGCATCCACCTTCGCTCGAATGCCATTTGCATTAACAACTTCATTATAGTGTATTGTCTATAGCATTAAAGCTATGTTCTTTACCGCTTGTCTGATGAAATATATAACTACTTGCTAAGCGCTCTGATGAATGGCGTTGGATGTCTCTTCAAAATCTGGATAGGCACGATCGGAGGAGATTTTGAAGATTTTGCATAAGCGATTCAACGGTATATAAACTTAGACGATGGAAAGAGAAATGGCTCGTTCGTTTACCTTGGCATCGGATCGAAAGGCATACTTATACCCAGTATAACCATTAACGGAGTAAGCTATTAGAAATGAAGATTAGATGACATTCTAGTGTTTTATTTATATTATTGTTGATAACATTTTCGGGTAGAAAAGAAAATTCACCGCTATCAAAAATTTTCTGAATTTTATATTTGGGATAACTCTATATCGACTTTAAACCTTCAGAGGCATTTTTCTCTAAAACCTGAAATCTGCCAAAATTTTCACAAAGTAATTATTATTTAATTATTTATTGCAAGTTAACCACGCTTTCTTTCAAGAAGAAATTTGAGCTATAAAATATGTAATATTAAAAAAGTTTATGGAGCATTTGCAGTTTTAACTTCAATAGAGATTCGTCTCGGTTTTTGCTCCTAAGATTTTACTTGTCTGTGAATTTTATTGCCTCAGTTGCAAATATCGTTTTGGAAATAAAGGAGGTGCGAAGTGAAGCTACCAGCTCAAAAGCAATTATTAATATAATTAATTAAAATAAATTAATATTAATATAAATATTCCAAGCCAAAATTTTTAAACGCTTAAAAACATGAGAATATTTTGCCAGTGAAATAAATATTTGAAATGCCCTAAAAAATCACGGCTTATAATGATCGAAATAGAAATTTTTTAAATGAACATTAACGATTTAAGAATATTTGAGGACAAACGATGGACATAAATGAAGAAAGTACCTATCTTCTTTTCGGTATTATGATTCGTCTACAACTTTTATTCTCCATTAATATTTCACCTTATTAAATTTTGCTGCAAATGTGAGCTCGAAGATTTCGTTCGCCGAATCTTTCACTTTTATTTACTCATTCTTATTATTACCTCGACTTCAATTCTGGTCGTGTTTAATAGACAATTAATCAATTCTGGTTCGGCTGGATTGATTCACTGATTGCATGGATGAGGCCTTTCGCCATATAATCATTTTTGGGTAGATGAATAGCTGGCAACTGGTTCTCGACACAATCCAGATTTGAATTTTAATGGCAGATTTATTTCCACCAGAGGATTAGGATCAAGTTTAAAATGCTTCATTTAGTCGAAGCAATAAACCACTCGACATCCGTTTTTTCCTAACATTCCTAAATTCTGTTTGCCAATGAAATAAACTCTTCCATCTTTTTAAAAAACAGTAAGTTCGCACCATCGGTATATGAAATCTTATTGAACAAAATGATTCTACAGTATTTTTCCAGCGCTGAAAGTAAAATAAAACAGCGAAAGTGAAAGCCAAAAAGCGATTTTATAATTATGCCATATTGAAATGTTCGGAATTTCTTTTTGTTTGCTTGCGATCGGAGATGTTCGATTCAATCAACATGAAATATTTTCTTGTAAATATTTCTTAAAGTTTTCATGCATAAATTTCAAGACGATCAAAATTTGAAATATTTTAAAATTTGGGAGAAATTTCCTTCATTAGACTGAAAAGATGTCGATTGTTCTGGCAAAATATACGGTTGGTAAAATATGAATCACACTCGAAGCATACAAACTTTCTCTTACCGTAACAGAACAAAAACAATGGGACAAGAGAAGAGAAGGAAAATGAGTGGAGCGATGAAGCAATGGTCACTGCATAAGCTAATTGTCTCTCAAACTAGGCAAATAGCGACAATTTCATTAAAACTGACAAAACAACATTAGTCGAAAGGCTTATGCTGTACATTTCCCACAGATCCAAGTTAGTTTTTTTGCGCTGGTTACGACTGCATTTACTTCTTTATGTGTCGAAGCTAGATCGGTTATTCACAAACTAACTCGAATGATAAGCCATTCTAAGAATCTCCTTGAGAACGATAAGAAATTTCTAAGTGGCAAATATTTCTGATTTATTGCGAGATAGTTGTCAATTTAAATCGATTTATTAAACTTCTGGAGGTCTATTATTACATTTTTCGATAATAAATCATATACAGAATTAAAATGACAACTGATTACAACATTTAATAACATAGTTCGTAAATCTTTGAGAATTCAGCTATAAAATTTGGAAAATTAAAAATTGGGCACAATTTGCGAATGAACAATTTTATGCAGCTATTATGTGCTGTCTTGACAGATTATATAAATTTTAGTAGTCCAACAAGATAAATGCAAGCATGTGTGCTTATTAAAAAATTTTTAAATATTTAAAAATTTAAAAAATTTGCAAATCACTATTTTATCTTGACTCCTGTATTTTTTATAATAAATGGGAAATTTTAAAAATTATATTCTTAAATATTTGGTTGCAATGAATAAATCCAGAAAATTCAGCTGCAATTCTTGAATATTTCTAAATTCTACCATATCTCTCCTATTGAAGTCTAGATTTTGGCCACCTTTGGCATATGTCTTTGAATCAGTTCAAAAAATCACCGAAGCTGAAGCTTCCAGCAAATTATTTCCAATATTTTCTTATTTTCTTCTGGATTCAAGTTTAAATCATTTACATTTGTCGCCTTTTTTAAACCATGTGTCAAGTTAAAGCGGCTTTGAGACAATTAACTATACATTACTTATAGCAATAATAAATTGCCCTAATATTTCTTACTACATTATTACTGTTTCATGATACTTATTATCATTATAAAGAAAATCGGCTATAGTTCCTTGAACATTAACTTGGCGCTATCAGTATTATCTGCACAACAAAAAATTCTTTTGCCATCATTATCAAGCCATTCCTGGTGTTTGATCTCATGAAGTAATTGATAACCAAGTTTCTTGAAAAGCTAGAAAATATGTTTGAAAACGATGAAGCGATAATTTTTAAGTGATAAGCAAGCAATTGTTTCTACGGTCAGTCGAGCTATAAAATTATTAAAATTAGAAAATTACAGAAGAAAACTTGGTACTTCCTGAGATTTAATGGCAGTTGCTTCAACTACAATGCCTTGACATCCTCTTTGTTGTATTTCCTCCAAATTATAATTTACTAATTTTTCTGCTAATCCTTGTCTTCGATGGTATTTGTCCACTGAAAGAATTATCAAATTGAACAGTCGCGTGATTCTCGGATTTAGGGTGATCCATATCTAAAGTTTAATGCGTATTGGAATAATTTATTCACTATTTGTAGCAAGCACTGTATTTATTTTACCTTATCATCTAATTCATCTAGAATTTTTTTTAAATGATTTGCTTTCACACTAAACTGGTTCGATTCTCCAGTATATTGATAAGGATCCTTATTTATATCAATTTTGATAGGTTCATTTCCATCCTGCAATATGGAATTCGCTAAATCATATTCAAAAATTTTATAGAAATAAATGGTTAAATATTTCAAAATTTTAATTTTTTCTATTTCTTAGTTTATGCATTTTTAAACAGCTTTAATTTTAAACTTTTATATTTTTAAAAAAATTTTTAGGTTTTTTGCTTCTTTTTTTTCTTTTCCTTCTCTCTTATCCTATTTTCATTCGAAAGTTCCTTTTAACTGTTAAGCGAAAAAAAATCAAATCAAGCAACTTCATATTGGCGCTCTTCTTGTTAGAAAGCTAATGAAAATTTTTAATGGAATTTTTCATAGGATAACTTTGAGTGAAAAAATAAGTGCAAAAAACTGAATAAGATTATAAATCCACAATAATTTGGTGCAAGCTTTACTTGTTTTCCATCTCGATCAATAATAGATGCTAAACGCAATCCAACAATATGTCCATCATGATCTTTCAGCATATATGATAAGGAGGATTTGGCACCCATCGAAACAAAATCTATAATTTACAGTTATGTAACGAAAAAAAAAATTTTTGATAGAGTCGAATAATATCATTAAAAATTATTCAAATACTGCAGACCTCTGTATAGTTTATCAGCTTCAGACTCCGTTATATTAATTGAACTGCTAATAGGTTCCTCGTGCAAAAAGTCATTGTACAAGAATTTCAAGATATCATCTATATCTTTTTCAGTGACTTTTATTATAGTAAAATCACCAAAATTTTTTTCTTCCATAAGTCTATAATCTAATGAGATTTTCAGCAAAATACAGATATTGGTTATTCAATTGATGACAACGATAAAAGTTAATGATGAAAAATTTATGATTTAAAATGGCATATCCTTCTCTCTAATATTTTCGCCTTAATCTCTCAATGAAATAGAATTAAAAAAATGAGATTCAAAAGTATAAAAAATTATATCACGACTGCAAATCTCTAAAATACATTATAAAAAACTTCTCAACTATGTCGACAACAACAAAATCTAGTATATGCTGCGTTCTGATAAATGGACATAGTGCTGTTGGAAAAGATTTGGGGGTTCGAGACTTTGGAAATTGGTATCCAAATGTTGTTGGAGCTGCCGCACTAGTGGCATATGGAAAACAGGAAAAGATTCAAAGGTGAATAATGTGAAATGCTTCTGAAGTTCTTCTAAAAGATTTTGTTCACATTTTGGAGCCTTTGCTGGGATTACCCGCACGATTAAACCTATCTTTCCAAAATTCCAATGATGCCTGCCGACTTACCTGTATTTTTATCCCAGATAAAAAATTTATCTGGTCGGACAAACTAACGAAGCGAGCGTGACCAGAAATTGTGAGTGCTGAAGAAATAGAATAGAGAAAGTTTACGGGATAAAAATGGTCTGTTAGGCGATTATGAATGGAAATCCATATGTAAGACATTGTTTTAAGATAAAGCAAATTTTTCAAAATGGAATTCAATGTTGCAAAGAATTGTACGCCGAGAAAAAGCTTTACCAGTTTATATTATGGAATTATTTGAAGAAACGGTAAAAAGGTCAGCATATTTTTTAATCTTTTTTTTGCTTTTTAAACGCAGTTTTTTGTGGATTTAATAGTCCGTTTCGTTGGCTTCCTACGTTGAACGAATATTCCAAATAGTGCATTGATTGTCGATAGTGGTAGATATGAGTCGTCAGCATCACTCCCAACAAGTTTTTCCCAATGGGGAATTGAAAAATCTTTACAGTCTATATTATGGAATTATTTGAAGAAATAATAAAAAGGTAAGCATATTTTTTAATCTTTTTTTGCCCCTTAAACGCAGTTTTTTGTGGATTTAATATATGGACCCAGTAAAATACAATTCAGTCACATGACACTGAATTTCGGAATTAGTTATCAGTGCTATTTATGTATTTTCCAATAAATTCGTTGTTTCTTACTGAGATTAAGAATTTGTATACATATCGATAATATGCGTATACTTCATAACATTTCAAAATTATTCATGTATTTCTGGAATTAAATAAATTTAGAGTAGATAACAGAACAAAAATTTTTAGATAACTGATAATAATGGCAAAAATATTATTTATATGCAATAATTTAATTTCGAAATTGGAATTTCGTATTTTATTAGATTAAAACTAAAAAAAACATGGCAAAAAATGGCTCAAATGAGGATTAAATAAAAAAATTTATTGGTGAAAATAACTGAATATTAATTATTTTGAATAACTGCTTATGGCATTTCATTATTTCGTTTGGCCCTGGTTGGTTTTCAGACATTTTTTATTTATCTAATTTATTTAAGCACTATTTATTCTTTTAACTAATATTTAACAGTTATTTTCATAAATCGTGCCGTGTTTCCATTCTCAACACCGATGCGATTCTCCTTGATACTGAAAAACTGATTTAAATAAGATCGATCGAGTAACAGAGTACCAATCAGAGAACGAAGTTTCGAAATAATTAATTAAATCCAATGATAAGGAAAACGATAATGCAATGAAATTAACAAGAAAATGTAAATATTTAAAATAAATTTGTGAAAGGCGCGAGAAAATCAATGGCATCTCATCCCTGAATAAATTTAAGAATCATTGCATTATCTATTTTTTCATAAATTAGTAAATATTTGGAAAAGTTCTAAAAAAAGGTGGGGCATCAATATCATAACAAGTAGCAGTAATTGCTTGATAATTTGTGATATATATATATATATATATATATATTTATATTTATATCCATATATATATATTATATAATGATATTTGGAGCACTTGGAATTGTTACTAAACTGGAAAAATCTGGAAAAGTGGCTCCAAGAGATTCCAGAAAAAAGATCAAAGGTCTCTGCCCAGAAAAGCATATAGTTAAGATACTGCATAGTATTCTCGATCTCCCAGGCCTCTGATAGAGGCCATAACCACCCATAGAGGATGAGAGAATATTTTTATATAAAATGACTAGTTTTAATAAAACTTGGTGCGAAACACTCATGCATCGCTCATTAGTAATATACGATTTTCTAATAAATGGCTTTCTGAGAAGCTGGAAATGGGAGAAAATGCCACCATGCGCGTATGTGTTAATGAATATAGACGAAAAGAAAATACATAGGTTTGCGCATCAAGATCGATATATATATATGTATAACCATGAAAATCTTGTTGTAGGGATAAGCTAAATTTTATAACAATGAAATCATCTAATCTCTAAATACATCAAAAAAATTTAAGCGCAAAGAGGTAAAAGGGTGATTACCACTTATTATTTGTGGTTATACTATCTCCAATGAGAAATTTTCGACAGGGAATCACTAGGAGCACACGTTTAGGTCTCCAGGACTTTTTAATTCTTGCTGGAGGTAGGAATTGAACTCCTGACCTATCTGAGAAGTGGCCAATCCGCTGTTCGACCTCTATCGAAAAAATATACCGTATACCTTCGAGTTTAAATTTTAGGGACCAGTTTTTTTTAAATTGGCATTAAATGGTTAGAAAATTGAAATTTATGAATGAATGAATCGTCGAAAAATAACAACTTTAATTTAACGACAACCGGTTTTAGCGAATGAAAATATTTCAGCCAGCTGTTCGCCAGTAATCGAAATGGCATCTCACTATGCCATTTTGCATACTTCTTATTTTTTCATAATAATTTATCTATTTTTAAAATTTTAAATTGATAATTATCTACGAATTCAATGCGTTTTTCACATTTTATTGAGCATTTTTTTCAAAATTCTTAGAAGGAAAATAAGTTCCCAGGAAATAATTTATTACTCTCTCTTTTACTCTTTAATTTTACGTTATTTTCAGCTGCTTTTATGCGAAGATAAATATTTAATTGTTATTAAAGGCTGAAAGCTTATGGGAATCAAAAGCGATAATTAATGTGGAAAAAGCAACCAGCAAAAAACTGAGTAAGGAAGCACAACAATATTCATAATCAATAAAACGAGTCTTAAAAACTAAACCTTTTTAAGCTTTTTTTCTTAAAATATTACATCTTTTCTTAATGGTTTTCTGTAAATAAGCAGTGTTCATTGAAATGGCAACTAATACACTTCAGTTTTCACGATCCAGGAAAATCACTTATTTACTCTACTCTTTACATTTACATTGCCAACTTTGAGAAATCTCAATCGTTGATTTTTTTAAAATATCTCGTTTTTTATTTATTCATTTATCAAACAAAACCTTAAAACCGTAATGCATTCATTTTAATAAATCAGACAAAAAAACAACGTTTGTACAGAAGAAAAGCGTAATAACGGTTGATCAAGAACCGTAAGATGTAACAATCCTTAACAACAGCGCGAATTTATTTATTTTAAAAACAGTTCAAAGAAATGGCAAAGCACATCTCCATTTCCCATTATCGCTCTTTCATTAAATCATGTGACGAAACAACAAAACAGAAAAGGACAAAGCGTAAAAATTTTGAAGAAAAACGGATGCTCGAGATTGTGAAATCGAGAATTAGCTGATTCTATCAGTGATGATCGTGAAAACTGAAGTGTAGTAGTTGCCATTTCAATGAACACTGCTTATTTACAGAAAACCATTAAGAAAAGATGTAATACTTTAAGAAAAAAAGCTTAAAAAGTTATGCGGATGACGAAAGATCACAGCGGAATTCGACTGTTGGGAAATGTCCAGACATACTAGTACTCAAATATAATACTATGGATTTAAACACTTCACCCACATCCCATAAAGATCTAAATGAATTGTTGCAATTGGAGCAGCGCAATTCTAATATGAAACAAAAACTTTCTTAATACGTTTTGGAAGATAATTCAATTACCAGTTATATCTTCGATTCTATGATTTCTGAAGGGTGTCACTACTACAGTCATTCTTGCTTTTAATGCCATCGAATCATATATCCTACCATCAAACAGTGACCATAATCTTCAAACGAAGATCAATTTTCAGCAAGGACCAAGAAATGTTCAATCTCGCATAGTCTCTATGCCTCTCATTTTTTGTTATATGGAATCCATTTTTCGTTACAAGTAAAAAATCTTTTCAGAAAGAACCATTTCTGTTTTATGCGAACAGTATACCCAAAAGTTCTTTCACCTGACTGGCACTCAATTTATGGGATAAAATCCAATCCAAAATTTCACGTTAAATCTGTACAACTTCTAGGACCAGCCTCAACCAATCCCTGCAGGGATTTATCTATTGAATTTGAGTTTGAAGCGTAACGAATTTTCGAAAGATTAATCGAAATTAAGAAGTACAAAAATATTGGTTCGCATATTTCGAAACCAAATCTGAAAAATTAGCAGATTTTGAAAAAAATCTTAACATTTTTGAGTTTTTTCACCCATACAGCCACATAGGTGCATATATCTGCACATAGAAGAACACCAAATTATAACATAAATTTGCGTCATCATACAAATATCTATCACTGGAATGCTTAGATTGCCTAGATTACTACCAAGAATTGAAATGCATGTGACAATTACAAAAACATAACTTAAGGCCCACATCAGTACAATGAAAGTGGCATAAAATGTGAATTTTTTTACATGGAATCTTTCATTCATACCACTGGACTTCTTGGGAGCGCCTTATTCCAATATCAATTGTATTCAGTAAAATTGGCAACTGCAAGAAGAAGACAACGTAAATCGACTATGCATATCAATAAATTTCGACAGTACGTCTTATCTCGTACCATTTTAAATTATTAACACTTTGTTATGGATAGTCATTATGAACCTTCTAATTATCAAGATACTGCCTGGAAAATGTGGGAAATTATCTTCTACGAATTTCCAAAAATATATTCACAAAAATGATTTAGATACGAATAAACAACGATATTTAGTAGAAAAGATAAATCGTGCATCAAAACCGTATGTGTTAATAGTTTAGTTTAATGACACTCAAATCCCAATTTCATCGATTGATATCCTAATCAATTTTGATCACCGATTGTATTACGAACACGTTTAGCTAGAAGATCTTCTGCATATAAATTTGAAGCCCGTTTCACCGCTTTTTCTTCTGAAAAATTCTCAAATTAACTTTCCAGATTTATCCTGGTTATACAACAAAAGAATAAAAAATAAAAGCCCAAAAAAATAAGTTTAAAAAAAGGTACACAGACCACTTTCTTGATCCATTTGAGCAGAATCATTTACTATATCGAATTCATCACTTTTTAACTGATTTGATTCAACAATACGAATCCGCAATTCTAGTTTCTGCAGAAAATCATCACATTCCAAAACACAACCATTTATAATGCCAACATTTTCCAACGTCAATTCACCTACTGCTAAAAAAATAAGTCAAGAAAATATTAGTTCCCATATTTTAAAACCAATTTATCGAAATCGCTGCTTCCAGAATTTCAGAACCAAAAATTGATAATAAAATCTTTGATTTATTTGACTGTAAATAAAACTCAGAGAATTTTTTATAGAAATGCAAAAAGGAATTGAGAACTCTGCCACTTAAAAAAAACAGAAAATTAAATGACAATTCATACATTTAATTTTTTTTAACTTTTTGTTTTTTTTAACTTTTTAACCTTTTTCCCTTCTTAACTTGCAGCACATATACATTTTTGAGAAACAGAAAAGGCAACAGACCATTTGTTTCTCCTTGTTCACTCGAAATAACGAGGACACCAGTCCCGGAAATAATGACGTCTGGAGCGACCATATGCAGTACAGTTTTTAGGAATTTAATCTCTAATGCATTTACGGTAGTAAGATTGACATTGGTTTTCAGTACTATTTCTCTACGATTGGAACAGACGTAGCAGTTGGGATTGGGTTTATTAGGTACTTGATCCACCAAAACTTTGCCACGAGGATTTGGCAGCCTTGTTATGAATATCTATAAGCAATTCAAATTAAGAGCAAAAAAGTAATAAAATGTAGAAAGGAATAAAAAATGGCTGTAATTCATCTCTTTGACCTTTAGTAACTTAAAGTATTTTGTTTTTAACCAAATTCTAAGCTTCCTCATGATATCCTGCATAATTTATACGATAAAACTTACATCGATATTTTTCTTAGTAAAAGCGCCGAATTTAATACAATATATGTGTCTATGACAGAAAAAATTAATTAAAATAAATTAGCTAAGATGGTCCAATTTCGAAAGTTCCAAGTTTGATACAAGTTTGAAAGTGGAATAAAACTAATGATAAAATGTGCTTCAAAAAAATGATAAAAAAAGAAACATTACAAACATTACGCAATGCAGGCAACCGATCAAAAACCACCTTCAACGCTTCAATGACAATCATCCCAGCAACGATGGCATTTGTAGTCGCTATTGCTGGAATTATATTTCCCGCCATTGCTGAAAATATAAATTTGAAACAAAATTATGAAATTACTGCAGTGAATTTTATAGAAATTTGACTATCTAAAAGGCATAATTTAAATTAAATTATAAATTAAAGAACAAAAAATGTATAGATAATAAGAAAACTGATAAAAAAAAATCAAAAAAACTCTTAAAATGAAAATTTAAAAAAAATCAAAAATAATATATGAAAATACAAAAAGAATTACAGGTTAAACTGGAATAAGTATACGATACACTGAAAAAATAAATTCACTGATAAATGCAAAAAAACTAACATTTGATATCAAAAAGTGACTTCATTGGTATATGAAAAGCGTGCGCCCTGATATTAGCACATGCAGTGACAAAACGCAAAGCTGCATCATCATCCTTCAAAAGAAAGTGGTAAAAAATTATATTTCAAGCTAGGAAAACAAAAAAAAGAAAAAGAAACCAACTTTATCCCAAACTAGGACAGAGCCATCTCTTACACGTTTTCCTAAAATATTTAGAGCATCCTCAAACTGCTGGCGACAATCCAACACTGTCCACAGATCATTAGCTGATTTACTACGACTGGCAGATGGATCTATCAAAAAAATATTTTCATGACCTTATAATTTCTAAATAATGCCTGATGAAAATATAATAGAAATAATTAATGTAGAAATGCATAGAAATCAGAAATATTTGAAATCCATCTTAATAAATAATTACTTTGATCGGGAAGACTATCCCAAATCAGCGGCGTTGGTTTCCTTCGTTCTCTCCACAGATTACTCATGCTTAACAAATATAAAATGTCGTCGTGAAAGAACTGCAATAAATTTTTATTTTTATTATTTTATAATAAAACTATAAGAAAATCGGAAAGAATCGTCCAATTGACAGGTAAAACCACCTTCAAATAAAAGTACACCTTGAATATTCGCGAAATCCTCTAATAATCACTTCAAATCCTGATAAAATAGCGAAATCCCCAATATTTCCTCATCAAGCTTTCTTCCCCAATTTTCATTAAACCCGTTCAATATTCTTAACTTGAATCTTTTCGATTCCATTATAAAATTGATGGACCAGATTATCGCAAAATCGCATTAGGAGGTAAAATGTTTGGGGAAAATAATAACGATGACTAAACTGGCAGAAGTAGGCTAATAGGATAAAGCAAAAGAATATGAGCAGAAGCCTTTTGGGGTGGGATCGAAAGTATTTGACCGCTGGGATAATTTTTTCAAGAGTTTCGACATAAAGGATTAATTTTACAGTTTAACAATGAGGCCGCATTTTCTCGAACATATTTGGTTCCATATATTAATCTAGCATTCTGCGTAAAAAAAAAAAACCTATAATATCTTCACAATTCACACCTTTGTAAAAAGTAATACTGGATCGAAATTGTTATTTTCTGCCCATTGACGTGTACTCTCACTAGTGCATAACGCATACGAATTGTCGGTCGCAAAATAATGATCTCCATTTGCCTGATAATTCCTATTTTCAAGTCCAGATTCTACGGTTTCTTCTGCAGCGAAATGGTATTTGTTTTCCTCATCATTCATATCTGGCGAAACTTCATCTTCTGCATCAGGCTGTCCGAATAACTGGCTAAAAATCATTGGATAAATATTTCAGCATATATTTTCTTTATTACTCGATTGTTTCTTTATTCTTGCTCTCTGTACACTTATTACTTTCACTGCTGCTGTTTTTTTTAATCCTCTAATATAAATAAGCAGTTATAGAAAAAAAACTCAAATTATCAATTACTGGAATAATCTACCTAGCAAGATATTACTGCTTCTTCAGCGTAACAGTTTTAAGAATAAATGAAACAATGTTTAGACTATTCAAAACCTTTCCTGATTGCTTAGTCCAGGTCTTGACTGGTCCAGCTTATTTTTAATACCACCTATTACAGAATTTAGCAAGTAACGAAATATGTATGGTGGGCGACGAAAAACATGCCTGGCGACGAAAAACATGCCTTAACCAGCGAAGACGACATTCTGTGATGGTAGTGGTATTTGAATGAAGGTAGATGTAATTATATGAGATCCACTGGACGGACCCGTAAAATATATCTTAGACCTTAGACAAGAGTGGTCAAAGATAGATGGCTTCTTAATATCCTCCACTCTAATTGGCCATGCCATCTCTATGTCAGCTACATAGATCGAAAAAATCGCGGCTACATGGATGAGGACTTTCGTTTTTATGGTGATTTCACGACGGCTCCATGAAGGTTTCGTCAACAGGAAGAATCAGCTATCATAGTTCGGATTATATCGTCTTTTGCCGGGCCATTTGGTATCAGAGTGGATCCATGACATTTTAAATCGGGCACTTCCTCAACCGTCTATAAATTTATAAAAAGCATTTTATCAGCTTTTTGTACATAAGACGAAAAGGCTTTCTTTCGTTTTATTTACACTGATTTTCAGTCTGATTTTTCTGCAGCTGCTGGCACCTTTTTTAGCATTATTTGCATTTCGTCATAACTATCAGCAAAAAACTACATTAGGCTATATTTACGAACCTTTATCAATCCACGGTTTCTTGATTATAGATAGCTTCAATAATTTTACTTCAATCCCCTTTTGCAATTAATATTTTTTATTCGCTTTTCTCTTTATTTCGTTATTTCGCAATACAGGCACAAAACCTAATCTGCCTTGCTTTTTATATCAACAAATTAACAAACTTAATTCAAAAAGATTCTAAGAAAAAATTCGAAATTTTCAACAAATTCATAGAGGAAAGAAAAGGCAAATTTTTCAACCGTTTCGAAATTTTTTGAACAAGGAATAAAAATAGCTTTTTAGAGAGATTGTGAGTGATCTGATATCTGATTTCGGCTACATAAATTTAAAAATCGTAGAAACGGCAAAAAACTTGATAGATGTAAAATGAAAAATTACTTGAAAAGATGCTTCGCCCATACTATACAATGAATTGGCTCAGATGGAGTATTCCGAATAGTACAACCAGGATATGACTTTTGTTCAGATTTAGGTAAACATTCATAACATTCTGTCTGATCACGTACAATAACATTAACCTTCAAACAATTGCATTTTAATAAAAATAAAACTAAAAAATTTATATGAAAAAAAATTTTAGAGAGAGAATGGATTATTTTCCTACCTGACCTAAATATCCAGAAGAACCACTTTCAATAAGAGGTACACGAGCAGCCAAGCATAAACGATTCACATGAATCCGTGCTTCTAAAAATTCCTGATGGTACAATAAATATGTGAAATATTTCGCAGAAAACATTTCACTACCAAAACAAAACATTTAACATAATCGATGAATAACCTCGATTATCCAAAGCACTTAGCACCACGGTAAACTGCTGGAAAAAATCCACGTCATATTTGCTACTGAAAATGTCTCAAATAACTTTTTTTTTTCCTGTTTTTGCGATGTTAAAACACATATGCTTTTTAATTAAATCTGCCATTAGAACTTTTTTGAAAATTTATGAAAAATTTACGATTTATGAAAAAAAAACTTTATTATACAGTGGAAGGTGTCAGAAATAAAAACAGCAAAATATCCCACGACTCCATAACCACTGCAGAAACTATCATTAACCCACACAAGGATGGGCTCATCGGAAATTAAAAGCATGAAGCCAGCACTAAACATACAACCTTTTCATGCTCACTCCTTACTCATATCACCTTTGCTCCAATAATAGAATTACACCTAGAAATGATGGCGAAGAAAGGCAGAAGATGAGAACTTTCACATGAATTACAATCTTAATAAAGATGTTGTCTTATTGATAAACAGTGAAGAACCAGAATAAAATAACTGGACAAATTCTTAAGAAATTATTGCCAATATTACTATTTATTATAAATTTACAGAAAACCTGAGGACTGAATCATGATGCGCGAGAACCTTCGCTTCAGGAGCCACTGCTTTCACAGCATCAACAGCAACTTCAACTTTCGGTTTCCCTACATGTTCTCGACGAAACAGAAATTGTCGATTCAGATTACTAACATCAATTGTATCCAAATCAATCTAAATTCAAATTCCGTGTCGCTTCATTAAAGAAATTTATTAATTAAAAAGATAATTAGTATTAATAAATCTTATTTCCTTCACAGATATGAACTGCTTCATTAAAATAAAAAAGGATGTTGACTTATAAACGAAAAATTTCAAGCATCTTAAATATTAAAAAAATAGAAGGCTAAAATAAACAATTACGATATCGATATTTGTAAAACCAGTAAGAACGAGATTTTTTAGAAGCTCACAACCGATACCACCAGCACCAACAACAAGGACACGGCAACCCAAACAGGATAAAAACGATGAATCGTACCAATCGGTTTGTAAATCTTCAACCATCGCAAACCTTCAATAACCGCACAATAATTCAGTTAGAATGCCTGAAATAAGCGCGGCCATGGTCCCTACGTTTCAAACCTTGGCCCATCAAACGAAAATCCATCGATACTGCCAAAATTGTTATGAAAAATGCCACTGCAAATCATCCTAAAAAGGTTACATTGTTTCAATAAATAGTTCAACATCTCTGCACTCATTCACTCTGTGATGCCATCTTACATCCTTTTACATTACCTTCACAGCCATGGACTAAGTTAGAACCCTTAGCAGTCCAGCTCAACCCCACTTTTCCCTCGTTAAACATTTTTGCTCTCTTATGTCGTGACCCGTCAGTAATATGTTCGCTGAAATTCCTTGGACTAACTTAGCTCTTCCAGGCGAACTTAAAAATACATTCGATCTTTGCTTCATTTTCTTAAGTCATAAATGAGGACTAGCAGGTGAGAAAACAATATAGGCGATTATGAGCTATACTAAGGAATGAAGGCTCTGCTCGTCCGTATGATAGATTTTTAAATTAGTATCGAATTCACTATTCTTAATTGACTATTTTTATCAACAATTAGGTGCGAAGGCTTCGTAACAAATTCAAGGAAGCGGACAAGTTGATCCTCAGCACACCTTAGCACAGATATCGCCTTTAATGACAAGTTTATTTCTTCAAAAGGCAGAAAGCGATCCGTGATCGAAGCAATACCAATTAGATATACTAGCATTAACACAATAGAAAATAAGGTTTAGGGTTTTGGACAAGCGCTAAAACATTATAAGATTAAAGGTGTTCGCTAAATTTTTATTATTCTAACAGTTGATGCGGATTTGGCACTAGAATCAATGAAAGAAAATGACCATTTGCTGCTATAGCAAATTATAATACGTAATGAAATGAAAAGAAATATAGCGTTCATGCCGGTTATTTTCGTCATGTACTAACAATAGCAGAGCATTTACATAAGAGTTACCCCTTATTATATTAGCCCCCAACCTAAATCAAAAGAGAAGCCATCTCTTGGATACACGAACGCCTCACCACCTTAACTACATATGACTGCATTTTAACGTTTCGCACCTCGCAGCTTCCTATAAATAACGTTGAGCTCTGGTAGCTCTGATAAGCCGTCGTGTAATTCAGATCGGTTGTAATTTGCAGAAAGAGTGAAAAAAATTCAAATAGACATTCGTTAGTTTGCAAAGAGGGACAAAGAAGTCTGTGGCAATCGTGGCAAAAATTCATCTTCCAAGATTCCTGGAAATCTCTCTCCAGCAACGCCACTTAATTTTTCTATTTTTTGAGTAATTTTCGCTCTTTTAGTCTGAAATACTTAAGCTCGAGCATTGTAGCATCCAGGAGAATCGGTTTATATGTATCAGGCATTTTGGTATTTTTGTGGATTAAAAATTCGCCATTCAATTCTTTTGCCCTAAGTATTCTTTAAATTAGGCTTTTCAGTAAAATACTGATGAGTGGTCAGTGAGCTGAAGAAAAACAAAAAACAATAATGAATACAGCGCTGTTAAAATCATGGGTTCGAATCCGCCGGTGCACTACTCTTCCGCATGGCTGCAGTGTCGCCTAACGGAGAACGAGGGAGGTAAAGTGGCTTGGCCGACACTAAGGTTCTGCTTCCGGCAGGAGCCAAGTCCGGATGACGCATTACTATCGCCAAGAAATCCCTGGCCTATTTATCTGGTGCGATAAGCCAGCTTGAATTTCTATTCTCTATATTCAGCAGATTCAGGATTTTTTTTCAGATTTTTCCTCTCGTATTGCGTTTATTTTTTTTGTTGTTTTAATAAATATTTTTGCTATTTTTTTTGAAATTTTAATATTTAAGATTTTGGAATGAACCTATCGCCAATGCACTAATTCGCTTCTTCGTCAACAGCCAATACCAACTGCACCATTACAGTTGCTCTCACAAATATTCCATCTTTACTATAATGAAGTATTTTTCCCCAATACTATTCAATATAAGAAAACGAAATCCAGTGTGGTCACTATTTAAAAGAAGTTTAAAAGAAGCGAGCGGAGTATAAATCCGAATGGGCAATAGGGAAAAGAAGAACGGAAAAAAAATGAAATTCAAAAACATGAACGTCTAAGGCGTTCGCCTTTGCGAGGGTTTTAATTTGTGACTAAACAGAAAAGCAAACAGAAAAATGTTCAAAGGATGAATCGAATGGCTCCACTTTCTTTGATTCCCTTATCCAAATTAAAAGCCTCTTGCCACCACTGAGATGACTAACTTTTGAGCTCCTAGCTTTTCCAGTGTTTTTGACGAGAATATCAACTGCTAGCATGCCTAGTTCGCAGCCTTTATCGCTAATTCACGGACACTCCAATTTGCAGACTTTACTGCTAGTTGAAATTGGCATAAAATTTTTCGCTAGAAAAACTTATAGTCATTCGAGCATATGCAGCGACGGCAAGCGGTAGGTGGACTTTCTTGCGTTTTTTAAAGAATTTTTTGATTTTTTAATGAAGTGATTCTTCAGAAATTACGAATGAAATATCTTGAAACTGTTTGCATTTCTTTTTTTTAAAATATTTTTATTCGAATTATTTAGAAATTTTTCAGATTTCATATTTTTAAGAATTCAGAACAAGTGAACGATGGATAAAGTTTGAATTTCTTGACTATTTCTTACTTTATCAAGATCTGAAATTTTTTTTATGAAAATTTAAGAAACGAATTATTTCAGAAAATTATTCAAGTTTCTTTGTAAATGAGTATTTTGAAAATTTTAAATTATTTAAATATTGATTCGATTTTACTTTAAAAACAAACTACAAGTTCTTCCTATTTTTTTGGTTTTCTGATTTCGAAAAAATGAAAAGTTACATCAAAGTTATTCTTTTGCAGTGTTTTCAACAATCTTTTGGACGAGAAAATGAAGTCAACAAAGGTTCACTAATAAAAAAGAAAGAAGGTAAATTCATTTTACTTTTAATCATATTAATATTAATTATTAATCATATTTTTGATTTTTTTTTTTGATTTTTTTTTCTGATATTCAAAATTTTACGTGTTGGATTAAAGTTGAGTTTAGAAAATTGCATAGACAGTTGTACTTTAAATATGAGCATTTCAAAAAAAGAAAAAATAAACAGTTCTAGAAAGAAATTGAAGTCCATTGATTCCATTCAAACTTTTTCCTCTCATTCCATTCCATTCTCTGAAAACAAATTCTGACAGTTGCGGAGCTTGAATCTGCTATATCTTGACTTTCTTAACCTTTACTTGGTTTATTAGTTTTTAAAAATGCTAAAAAAAAAGAATCTGAGACTGCATAGGTTTGAGAGATGTCAAGAGAATATGTTGGGGAGATACTGAAAGAATATAGTAAATATCAGGGATTTGTGACTGGGTGAAACATGGACTGAGGTGGGCGATAAGAAAGTATTTGACGCTTTTTATAGGTTTTTTTATCAGGATAGTAATGAAGTGTGGAATTGTGGTGAAAGACCTGGAAGGATATTTCTTGTTAGTTCTCCTGGTTGTAAGAGTGAGACAAGCCTCTCGATTAGAGCGATACTAAAAATAACAAATTGTTTTAGCTATTCTCGATTTCCAATCTTATTTCTAAATCTTATTTCCAGTCTGTAGCTGGGCTGCCTATGTTTTCGGAATCTGTCCTGACTAGTCCTTGATTCGCCCTCCTTGTTTTTGAATTCATCATATAGATTAGCAAGTAGCGAGATGTGCGTCAATTCTTCTGAAAAATATGACTTAAGCAGGGTAGGAGACGCTGCGTGGCGATATGCTTAATGCAGATGCTATTCGAGCGAAGGTGGATATAATTTTATGGGGTTCTAACCACCCGACGAAAAGGAATCAAATGATGTCATCAGTGCGGTCCTTATCCTTGACTAATTCACCTGAGAAACAGTGAGATCGGAAAGAGAGGCTTTTGCAAAGTGAGGCTTTTTTTTTTCCTATTTCTTTCTATGAAGCGTTGAGCCACTAGTTGTTTCTTAATGTAGATGTAGATGCAGTCTATTTTCTATCCACAGTCCTTCATACGTTTCCTATAACCACTTTCAATAGGTTATAGTAGCCTTCAAGTTCCAAATTATCTTGTCCTTGTAAGGTTTGTTCCAGTAGCTCACTTGTCATCAGATTCCTCATTATCTTATTAAATCGGAGACTGTCCCAGCCGGCGTAAATCCAGTGCGCGATATTCTATATTTGGGGTAAGGCAAGTAAGCTTTTCAGAGGGTCTTGCCCAAGGACCCTACCCGAAAGGTAGAAAAACTTGGATGCGATTCGATTCAAAGTTGTTGTTACAAAGTTGTTATCATCCGCCCGCTTTAGCCACTACGCTGTACCTGCGCCAAAAATCCTTTTCTTATCACTTGTGGGTGTATGATTCACCCTCAACCTCTGGCCTTCTAGGAGAGGTCTGGGAGATTAAGGTAGAGCAGATAAACTTTCAGAGGATCCAAGTCTCGTCTAAAGATTATCACTGGAAAGGTATCGAGGATTGGCTACGATTCGAATCGTTGTTGTTAAATTCCATATTAATCGCCTCCCTTAATCATTATATTATTCTGGCGCTTTAATTTACATATACATGTAACAAATTCCAATAACAAAAAGCAAAAAATGTAAAAAAAAAAAATCGAAATACGTATATGCAGAACAGTTCTGTCAGACTCACATTCCCTAGCGTAAGCTTGATCAAGCATGGGTATGTATGTATATATCTATACGTGAAAACTTTGCAGATTATTTTATTTAAGTTTTTACAGATTATATCCTTTGCATCTTATTCTAGGCAAATTTTTGTGAAAAGTGGAAAAAATAAAAAAACTTGTATTTTTCATACTTTTGTATTTTTTATCAGAAAATCAAAAGAAGATAAGGTAAAACGTGTAGAGTGTTTGAGTATTTTTGTGAAGCTAGTACATTATTGTATGGTTCTATAGAACTTTCAGTAAGATCTCAAGTTTAGGATGGGCTGCATTACTAGTTGTCTGGTGCCTTGAGTTGGACATTCCTTCCGGACCATTTTGCACAAGTTTTTCCTTTCTCCTTCCATTTTCCTCATTTATCCTTTCCTTCTTTTATTTTCTTTCATTTCCCTTCTTTCTTGATGCTTCTGTGATTCTGCCATTCTGTACTGTTTCATTATCAATAAATGATTCTTCTATTTTTTCCTTTCGCTCTTTTCGCTAATTGTTCATGATTTGCTCGCCATTTCTCTTTTTAATTTTACATTCACTATAATTATTCCATTTTCTCACCAATGTCTCGCGTCTCCAGTTTCATTTTTCTATGTATGAAATGGACTGCATATTGGAGTGGCTGTTGTCCATGTAATCGGGAATAACTGCAACTGAAAATTATGAAATGGACTGCATATTCGAGTGGTTCTATCTTATTTATCACTATTTTTCTATTTTTTTACTATTTTTCAGTGAGAAGTCTGTTATCTGGTGATCATAATAAAGAAAATGTTAATAATGCTTACAAAACAACGACCAATAAAACAACTTGGTTGTTCTTTTCTTTTTAATCTACCTTTGTAAAAATATTACTTATACATTTCGTATTTCTATATGAAATCATATGATTCTGTCCTTTAACCTATTTCCTCGAATTCAAAGGTTGAATTATATTATTTTTCAGTGAAAGCGAAAAAAAGGAAGGTCGTCCTCGCATTGTCAATCCTTTCGAGTGCAATTTGGCTGAAGAAATATCGCAATTTACTTTCAGTCCAAGTGTTTTCACAGTATCTAAGGTTTATTCATTCATGTTTGAAAGAAATGTGGATTTCTGTTGATATTAAACTTTTAAATTAGCTCTTTGTTTTGTTTTCTTAAAATGATGAAGCATATGGTTAAATTTAGAAATCGAACGACAGTATCGCTGAACAGTTTGTATGGTCAATTGATGAAAGAGCAGTTATGTGCCCCGTTGATATCGATGAAGAAAATGCTCCTCTTGAATTAACACCGTGAGTTTATCGATTCTAGACATCTTTTCTTGAAATCTATGTCGCTAATTAAAAAGTGCGAAGAGAATTTTAGTCAAACATCTATGTAAAATATTTTGTTATATAAATGTAACAATATGTACTCGCAGTTCTTGAGTTGAATTTGGGTGTGACGTATAAAATATTTATTTGGAAAATTGTCGATTATTTTTTCAAATCACCTGGATATTTCCATACTTAAATACCGTTATACTGAAGAAAGATTTGAAATTCGACAGCCCTTGCTCAGAATAAGTCATCATGCCAGCTCACCACTTAGCTCCGTTTCGAGAGTTTTAGATGTTTTTATAATTTCTTTAATGGAATGTTTAATTATTTCATTTTCTTGGCCGTTTTTATCATATTGTTTTTTATTACTGCTTTTTCGCCCATATTTTCAGCTTTAAGTATATCTTATTTTCAAAGACACGTCACTACTAAATAGTTGATACTGATCATCCCTGAAAGACCGGTGACCCATTGAACTGCCTTTTCTGTTGTAAGTTCAAAAGGCTTTAAAAAAAAAAAAAAACAATGATATATATTCATAATGTAAATTTTTAAGTCAGTTTGAATTGTTAATTTTTTGACATCAAGTTCATTTAATTTAAAGGACATCCAGTAAAAGCCTTGTTCGAATTGTTTCTTTCTGTTTTCTATTTTCTCCAAATGTTTTATTTTTCTAACATTTACCATTTCTGGCATGGCTACCTCCACTAATTGCCATTTTGAAATTCATGTTTTGGCTATTTTTTTCAATGTGATTTGAATTGATTAAGTGATCCAAAACACGAAGCTGCAATTCATTCTGCTCTCGAGAAGTTTTGGAGAACCAACTTAACTGTGGCACCATCGCCAAGTATCAGTCCTTTTCAGATAATAGAGGGAAAACGAATTAAGGTGGTAATTATTCAAGTTGCTTCCTCATTTTTTTCTCACTTTCATTAATTTTTATTATTTTTAGATAAATCTGTCAGAAGCTAAGATCCTAAATATAAAATTGCTAAATATAAGATTGTTAATATATAAATATATGCGCAAATGTTTGTCCACAAAAAACTTCATCTACATCACCAAAAATATTTTTTATATTTATTATAAAAAATAAAAAATATTAAAAATATTTATATAAAAATATTTTACACTTCCAAATCTCTGTTATCTTTGCGGTATTGCATTAGTAAGTTAAGGTACTTCTGTAGTCCTTGTAAAACTTCCTTGGAATTCTTTAGTAATAATTCTTCAGTATTCTATTAATCCTCTTCATAATCCTCGTCAAATGCCGCTATATTTTTTTCTCATTCCCTAAATTTATTCTCTAATTTATTCCCTAAATTTCCATACATTTTGTTTACTTCTTTAGATGGCATTGTCTTTTGACCTACTGCCGAATCCGCTGTGTCCTTTCCTCGCATAAAACTCCACAGCCCAGAAAAACCTGATATTTGTGGAAAGTCTGCCTAAGCCCTACATTTCCTTAACATCCAAAATCAAGCTGTGATACCTTAATCTATTGGTAGGATCATTTTAAACCTCTTTCTACCATTTTACTCTATCTGACGCAGTTTTAAACTGCCTATTCCCATTCTGTTTCCTTAGTATCCTGTACTTTCAATGCACTTTGGCTCCTTTGTAGTTTTAAATTACGAGGTGACGAAGGGTAATATTGATATGTTAGATGTCAAGGTGTATTTCCTAAGGAGATATTGAAAATATATAACTCCTTATCAGCTATTAGCTATTTGTATCATGCTAGCAAAATAATATCTAACTTTTTTGTCTTCAGGTTAAGGAATCGTCTTTGATAAAACAAAAATTGTTCCTTAAGAAAGACGCGCAAACTCAGACAACAGCAACTTTTCCAAAAGAGTTTGATTTCGAATGTTTTTTAGGTGATCCCTTTACCAATCATGCATTTATCCATTTATAGATTCAGTTGTTAGTTAAAGGTTGCAGCCAATTTTGTAACACATTATTGAACTTTAATTTGTCATCTAATGTCATCCCTTTTTTCTTTCGGTCTTATCTGGGTTTTATTTGAAATCTTTTTTTTTATTGCCTTTTATTTACTCTTATTTATGAATTGTTTCAAATGGAAAAAAGTGGACATGGTGTTATAAATTAACTATGAATTACCAACTACAAATAAAAGTGGAGGAAATAGTAAATAGGTTTTTTTTCTATTTTCTTTTAAGCTGTACCTCTAGAATGGGTGTTTTTAGAAGCTGAATTCCGATATTCCGAAATGGAAGGAAATGGTTTGGAAATGAAGAAAACAGATAAATACTGTAATTCACAAATCAAGCAGCAAGGTTCAGAGCGGGATGTAATATATCTTGAAAATTACGATGAAGTGGGGTATTCTATTGCGGAAGATAAGTCTATGAGAAAAGGTCCGGGTGATGATGTAGTATGTCTTGACGTTGAAAGCGAGGATGATATCCCTGATTTCCTCAAGAATGTACCTGTTGGAAGATGGAAAAAAAGACGTTCTCCATCAAACAGTCCCGCATTTTCTTATATATCACCAGACGTTTCTCCCATTGCGTTTGATTGAAAGAAACCCAAAAATTATTTTTTAAGAGAAATTTTCGTTTTCCGTGACTAATCATTGTTAACATATTGTTATGTTTGTTTACTTCGCATTTCAAAAAAAATTTTTTTTAGTTTAGATTTTGTTTTCTTTTGTTTTGTCTGTTCCGATAATAATAGTTGTTTGCCTGTTTACTTCGCATTTAAAAAAACTTTACTTTAGACTTTAGCTATTTTCTTTTGATAGCTTTCTTTTTTATCTGTTTCAATAATATGAAAATCTTTGTCTGAAATTACAAAGTGTAAAAAGATGAATGAATGCATCCTGTTTAAATGTCAGATTATTTACAAAAATGTCGGGTTTTAAATCTTGCAATCATCTCGTGGCTATGCGGTCCTGTGAAATTATTTTACTGGTCATATACGACTTGACTTTAGAAAAATCTAGTTTAGTGCAGTAAACAGACCACATCATTATTCATTGGGAGAAAAGTTTTAAGTGTGAACACTGTTCAATGACAATTGTGAATATATATTTTATATATATATATATATATAGTGATACCATTTTCACTGATCTGAACAAAAATTGGATCAAAAACTAGTGAACTGAAAAATAGGTATATATATATATGTATATAAAAATAAAGAAACCTCGAGCCTGCGTTTAAAAGAAAATGTTGATGTTCTAATGCAGCCAGAATGAAAATACCTCAACTAAAAACAAGATGCCTGGAACATATTTTAGATAACCATCTAATCCCGATTCGAACAGTCATTCAAAATTAACTCGTAAATAAAAATATCCAAAAGATTACAAAATAAATTTGCGAAATCGATATGAGCTATTAAAAAAAAGAAAACCCGATTTTTGACAAACAATTATTATCTAAATATTGAATTTACAGACAATGAGATAATGAGATATAACGCATAAAACAAAATATAAAATATAAAAGATTCATTCCGAATAATGCAAGTAATGTAATATGAAAAGTGTATTTACTGTTATCGATTGTAATCAGCTTAGATCGTATATCTCATATTTCGCAACTAATTTGTGGTACTGCCAGTGCTGTCGATCAATTAGAATTTTAAGCAGATTTCCCGCTTCAGTAACAAATTTTTTGATAAATAGGCAAAAACTTTTGAAATTTGTTTTATCTGAATACTTCTACTCGTGAAGAAAATTTAACATATAAAAAATTAAGAATATAATACATAACAGATTCAAATGGATAGCAGAAAATATCACTATCAATATCCTTATTTACATCAGCTTTATAATTAGATAGTTAAATAATAATTATACTAACTTAAATATCGATATGAATACAATCGATAACAGATATGTTTTAAAGAAGCAAACCACTAATTAACTACAACATATCAGCGAATTCTTCTATCGACTATCGCTCATTTTAGTCGTCACCTCTAAATTAATAAATATAAACCAATAACAAGAAGGTGTTCAGGATTTTTCATATTGTCTTCGCTCAAGCACCGAAATCAAACTGCCAGTATCGTATCTCCCGATGTGATTACCAATTTTTATGTTCAGACTACAGTACCACCGGGGACAACTGGATTTATATGCAGATTTGAAAGAGAATTCGTAATGGGCCGCTGAGCTGCCTGAACATAGAAGAAAGCTTAAAAGAGATGGAAAAAAATTCAAAATAAAATTGACAGTTAAGTGGAAAACGTTAAAAAAAGAGCAACATCAAAATCAAAAAAAATATGTGCCAAACAATGAATTTACTATAGTCAGACATAGAATTTAGGGCAAAGAAAACTATTCAATTTTATAAAAGAATTTTTGGCGGAAAATTGCTCTTTAATTACATGACAAATACACTGATGAAACCGCACAACTTACTTTGCCCGGTCGAGCCCACGTTAATATGAAACCTTCTTGACAAGCCGTAATGACACAATCTTCACGAAATTCCAATCCGGTCAATCTTTCATGAGCAATTTTCTTACAAATTAACGGCTCAATTATAGTAACTTCCTCCATTCTCGGACAAAGTGATGTTCCAAGCAGACGGCCGACAGCATTCTCACGCCGTTCTCTTTCATTACTTAAAGACTGATTAGATCGACCCCATCTAAAATTAATATAATGACAATTTCATTTTCATAGTAATATACACCTATCACTTTTTTATTTTCTTTATTTATTAAAATCGTTGCTAATTTTTTTTTCATTACCTGCTGCTGACACCAGCATGGCTTTTGCTTGCCTTATTTGTATGAATATGAATAAATAGAATTAAAGAATATAATAAAATATGACTGACCTGTCATGTGAATTACCAGAAAACTTCGCTGTAAAGTTGAAACCTTTTTTATGCAATCTTTTATCTTTCATTCGGTGTGCACCTTTCGTTTCCGAGTTTGATGGCTTTGATGCTTCCAAAGCATAAGATGAGGATAAAATCTTTAAATAAATCACTTAGCCCTTTCTCTTTAAAAAATTAAAGAACATTCATACCCTCAAATTGACAAATTGCTGGTTCTTAGGTAAAATCTGTAATGTTTATTCATTGGGATGAAAAGAAAAAAATTAAATTAGCGTTCAAATGAATTAGCGTTATTGGGAAAAAATAAATTAGAAAGAACGAAGTAAGAAAAATTTTCAAAAAGTTTAAAAATAAGTCAAAAACCAAAACTAAAAGATTAAAATGCCATTTGCCTGACGTGAATAATAATTAAACGATTAATAATTAGTTTTTAAAAGTTTCTTAAATGAAATATTTTCTCGAAATGAAATAGAATGATGGACGGTAGAAAATATCAATACTAAAACGAATTACAATTAGACATTACACATTATGCAATGATATGAACTTTCCGCTTGAAACAGCCAACAAAGTTGAGCAAGAACTTCAAAGTACCTAGCGATTTATAAATGCACCAAATATTTATGCAAGATATCATCAATTTCTTAAGATAAGAAAAAAGAAATAGTCGCAACTCGAAATAAATAATGAAGTAGAAGTAGGTTGCGATTAAAAAAAAATTTTACTTGATCAGTGCCAATCGTAATAATTGTGGAACCGCGATGTCTTTGCGAACTAGATTGACGTAAAATATCTTCCGTCAAGTCCCAAAGACATAAATGCGTATCATGACCCACAGAACCGATCCTAATGAGAAATAAAAGATGTATATTACTCAATCTTCAAACGAACACTACTAAACAGTACCTGTACGAAATGCCAAATCCTGTACAGCCTCCAGTTCCCCCAAGCGACGGTGAAGAAAAAGATTCTTTCTGTGAACGAGTTATTAATGACCCTGAAGTACCCGTGCGTAAATTCACTGTTGATCCACCTACGATAAAGGAAGAATAATTTCGAATGAATGAGAAGGAACAAATTTACCAAAGTCCAAATAAATGCAATAAATATTGGATAAAACCTGGGCTTTTTGTATTTACAAAAGATGAAGAATCTGGCTGAGATGCAACTGATGATACTAATCCCATCTTAAAAGGATTACTAAAATGAGTATTCACATGACAAACGCCACGATTCATACATTGTGAACCACCTAAAATACGCAAAAATAAGAAAACTAAAAATCAAATAAAAGCTTAAATTTTAAAAATTACAGAATACTTTTCTTAAAGAGCCCTCACCATTACTGGTTAAACTCGCTCTGCTGGCTTGTCGCACTGGACAGCCAGGATGTCCAATTATTTGAATATTATGAAAGCGAAAAACCTTTAAAGAGAAGACCACTATTACTCAAGTTCACAGGCCGTAAATCATCTTCAGAGCCAAGATCAGTAGCTCCACCAGGTGGATGATGCAAATCTGATGAAAATGGTGTATAGGGATCAAATGCAACCTGAAAAAATTTGCTCCTCTAAATTAAAAAAGCTAAGGTAAAGTTTTAAAATCAAGATTTGGTTATGCTTGATTGTACTCATAGCAAAATTTCCAAGATGTTAGTTGTAGAAAACAAATCGTAAAGAAATGAAGCGAACTTACAAATGAACAATAATATGAATGATAAATCATTTTAATACAACGAAAGATGATTATCAGACCAAAGAAAAAACTGTAACAATGAAATAAGATCTAATGGATTTTGCCTTGTAAAAAACAAACTTGAGATATCCAACTTTTATGTCCTTGACCTCTACAAATAACCCGCTTTTCAAGGACCGAATATACCGTTATTAAATCATCTTCACCACCTGTGACAATATAACGGGCATCCGGGCTCCATGATAAACATAGAAGACCACCAAAATATGATTTCATGAATGCGACTAATTCCATTGTGTGGTAATTGAATATACGCAAAAATCCGTCCTCAAAAAATTTAGAATTATATAAAAGTGTAGCTGAATAACAAATGAAATAAAATTGGCCCGACAATGAAAAGAAGATACTTACGTTACTAACAGTCGCCAAATATTTAGCGTCATTGGTTGGTGAGAACGCAAACTGATTAATAGCACCACTGCCAACAGACCAACGATAAACAGGGTTTCTGTGTGTTTTAGCTTTGCAAACATAAACTGTGAAACCATTTCCCTGAATAAATAACAGAAAGAAATATTAATCTAAATGATTAAGCAAATTTACAAAATAAAACAATTTGTTTAATTAATGATTTAAACCTGCTTATAAATTTGATATGTAGGCGGTGAAGGAAAGCATGACAACTCCTCCTTGTAAAGGTACATATTACCACTCACATGTGATGCAAGAAAACATTGTGGCTGGCCTTAAAAATTTAGCGAAAAAATTTGAAAAAAGAAATTTGAGTTATATTATAAAAAAAATAAAACTTTTCGAAAAAATCTCAGATAAAACAATAACTTTGATAAAACAAACTAAACGATAAAATTATAATGAAGAATATGACTCTTACTGTTTTAAAGAATGAAAATTTAAAAAGAATGAAAAGGATAAAAATGCACCTGGGATCCACTTCAAACATGTAACTGGAGTGCGATCAATAAAACGATCCTCGTTATACAATCGACTAACTTGGAAATCTTTTTGGAATGGATTGATTAATTGAATTTGACCAGCTGAGAAACCGACGATTAAGCTGGAATTAATAAAGTTCCAATAACAAAGCAAAATACTAAATCAAAAACTTTATTAGAGCTGAAAAAAACTGATTAGCAATAAGAAAAGTACATTGGTGGAAAATACAAAGGGCAATTAAAAAATCATTGAATCACTGATGAAAAATCATTGAAAACGAGCTTTTTTCATTACGAATGAGAAAGGATAAATTGGATGACTTGAAAATGAAATTATTACCTGCATGAATTCGCTGTCGCAGTTGTTGCATTGAAATCATGAGAGGTCGGATTGGTTCCTTTATAAACACGCTTGTCTATTGGTTTATTTAAATCAACTGTACTATGAATGCCACTGAAATACTTGTAGAATAGTCATTTCATTTAGATAATTTTATGTAATATGTGTAAATACATGTGAAACTTGAAAAAAAATGGAAAAAAAATTTTCTGATTTCTTAGCAGATTTTAATAAATCACGGCAGCAAGATAGTCCACTCTTACCGATATTGGAATATATATAATTCACGACCAATATTGAAGCATATTCGATCATAATAAGAATCATTATCGACTGAATTAGACAAATCTCGAATATTTGATGTTTCACTGAACCTTCTTTGCAGAGAAGATATGTCGCCGTTTACCAGGATATCATTTTCTTCGCTATTACGACAATTTGATGTAGTAGGCCGAAGACTGAGAAAGGATACACGAACTGGTGCATTACCAGTATTGTTATTACCACTCTTAAATGCATTATTTGTGAAAAATGCTATAGCCAATTTGAACCTAATCGTAAAGAAAAGTATAATATTAAAAATATCGATAAACGAAAAGCAAATCAAGTGATCGTTTTTCATCTGAGAACTCTTAATATAATTATCACTTTTCTTAACTAGTGTTTGTAAACATCTGGCAAAAAAACCTGATTAAGAGAAACACGATTAGGCCTTGAATATTCACAAAGAGTCATCTGCTTATAAACGCCTTCACGTGTAATAAAATGTGTTTTCAAATCGTCTTTTGGAATAGTATAAACAGACTGAGTAGAATCAAGAACACTATTCGTACCAAGCTGACCACATGTATTCATTGTAAAAAAAACCAAATAACAATGAAGACAGTGACCACTTCACGCACTGAAAATTTTTTATATTATATTCCACAATTAAGATAATATTTACTTTTAATTTATATTCTGCCAATTAATTATAAAGCACTTATTTCTATGACTATATAAAAAATGCAATTAAAATTCATACGTAAATTTATATTTAAATGTTTCAAAAAAAAGGATACAAATGCCTTACTGAAGGAAAGTTTCTGCGATTGAGTTGTCCATTGACCACCATAACGTTACGGCATCTCATAGGAAACTTGAATTCACTAAGATTTGCTTTTATTTTCAACACCGCAAAAATAGTCCCAAAAAAATAAAGAACTAGTAAAAATTAACTATCAGTTTTCAATATCAATTTAATTATCAGCGAAATCCCGATATCGCCTAAACACATGAATTTTGTTTTACACAAAATATTATCGATCTGATAATTTTAATCATCATATTCCATAAACTTCTAATAACAAACACTTTTTTTTCTGAGCAGGAAATTTAAGAAATTTTAGAAATTTCTTAGTGAAAATACAAATAAAAAATATAACTAAAATACAAGTAAAACAGTGAGCATTAATTCAAAAAGAAATAAAAAAGTACAGAATTTACAAGTGAACAACTCATGTGAAATTTCGACAATTTCCTCATGTGTGTTTTTCCATTTTAATTTCAATAGGTTAATGTAATTTGAAAAATTTCAAACCCTACAGATTATGCCAAGAAAATACATTAAACATAAATAAATTTTTGTCATTTCCCTTCTTCCTTATAGAAAACTTATTTTATATTAATGAAAACAAATAAAAATAAAGATAAAGAAAAAGGAAGATAATGGAAAAAGTAAGAAAAAATATACATATACATATATATATATAATTTATTTCATATAGGAAATAATAAAATTAGAAAGTATTGCAAAAGATATAGACTTTCTTCCAATCTGACGCGAAGGAATATCCGAGACAAAATGACTAGTAGTGGGATAATCTGAAAAAAAAAAATTGCCGCAAAAAATTCACCTGAATATTAGCAGTTTGAGAAAAAATTAAATATAACGATCTATGAGGGCCTATAAACGTCCCAGAACAATTACAAAAAAAATATTTTTCTACTCAGAATGCACGAACCTTACGATTTTCCTTTCTAATCTGCCATTTGTGCAAAAAATTACCAATTTATATTTACAAATACATCTTTTTCTGAAAAGTCATCAAAAGGAACCGGATTCATATTTTTCATGAGATTAATATTCAAAACGATCCATAACATTCAGCGCATTTCAGATGGCTGAAGGGGATCCTTCACAAAATGATTAAGCAACATTCGCATGCTTAATAAATTAAAATAAAACAAATGAAAGCAATGAAAAAATTTATAACAAGAAAAAACAATAAAATGCATGTATATTTGGCGGCTATAACGCATCCTCTTATCAAAGGATAGTCGGCAAAACCGCTGCACTACTTCACCGCATCCCTCTAAAAACCAGTACCACAACAAGAAAGAATAATCAGCTAACGAAATCGAATAATAAATACAGTATATATTTTCACACATTCGCTTGAATTTTAACAAGCTCTTTGCAGCTCAATATCATTTAAAATTATGTTTTTTTAAGAGGTCGAACAACATTTCTACGTAATACCAGTTAATTAGATGCTCATTGACTGGTCAACCATTAAACTTTTTAGGTTATAATTTTCATATTAAAATTAAATAAGTGATGAGCATCTCACATCTCTGCCGAGGGAGAAGAGCGAAAATCGCATGGCTGCTAGCAGCTGATGCATTATAACTAATCGCTTGAAGTTTTGTGGCAGTATCAAGTAGCAGCACAATTGTTCACATATACACAAATTAGTCACCAAGGTTTCCTTATCATTAGGTGTGTCGAAGGGAAGAGTTAACTTTTCGCTCAAAGCCGTTGTCAAAGGACGTAAAAATTACAAAGCATGAAGCCCAAGCCTGGTTAAGAAGAGAATAATTAAATTCAAAATTTTATCAAATTTTATCAAAATTCAAAAGATTTCAGGATTTGATATGTGTCAAGTTAAAACAAGGATTTAGATCATAGATGGGCGATGAGGAGATTAAGGATGCGATTCCAACGGCAATGAGGAACAACGGGCAAAAGGAAAATGTCTAAAAAGCCAAAACTTGAAAACATCTTGTTAATCTTTGTTCATTCATACTTATACTTATTTATTTTCATCTTTTTCGTTGTAAAAGAGCGAGTTGGCAAAGTCGCCTCTTTCAAAAGAGAGATCCTTTTTGTTGCAAACATCTAAATTTCCTTGGATAGTTAGGCAATTTTTAAGTATCTCATAATTTGATATAATTTGGCGTATATAAATCTTTATATCCTTCAACGCCTTTATAATTACCTTCTTTATAATTTTAAAATTCGTGGTGAATTCGGAATGCGAGTGGTCGAGTTCTGAACAATTAATTGAAATTTTTGCTTCATTTCTTCAAATTTTTGATTTTTTTAAATTTTTGACTTATAGGGCTTAAACCTTAAAAACCTTAAAAGCTTTTCGAATCCTAAATAACCCTCCAAGTGGAGTGGAAGATTATGTTATTTTTAGTAAGGCAAAAGGGTATTGGAATAAACATTTTAATTCACTGAGTAATTTAACTTTTACTTGAAGTAACTCAACTTGTTGACTGCATAAATCTACTGTACGATGGTATAGACTATGGATATCTTTTGGTGACTTGAAATAGTTAAGATGCTATTTAAGTCAGTACTTTTTAAAACGTGGTTCGCGGTCAGAAAAGGGCTGGGAAATGAGGGATTTGATTTGGGGTTTTTCTGTTATTAATTATGTCGTCGTTGTTGTCGTCCTCACTTCCCTCCCCTCGGCATATGGTCGCCAAGTCAAACATCTGTTTCGTACTTTCTTACTCCGACTTGAAACTCTATTTAATTTATCGCGATTGAGAGAAATTAAACAAGAAATGAAGACAATATAATGTCGAATATCTCACACATGGTTTTATTCAGTCGGTCACAAATAAGGCATTTCCCAAAAACTATTCTCCACTGAATATATGAAACCGTCTAGAACGAATGATCATTTGAAAATGATCATGTTTTCATGCTGAAAAGCAAAAATATGTCATATTTTCAAACAATTTTTAAAACGACGAAAGTTAAAGACTTGTTTCCAATTTAAAAAAATGACACTTGTCTCTTATTTCCTTGCTTATCGCTAAAGAGCGGAAACTATAACACAATAGTGAAACAATTGGTGAAGAGCGGATTCTTACTTCTATCCTTTCTGAATTCTTGTATGCTAACCATTATTTGATATCAAGATAATTCCTTTGATTAAAACTATAATGCAAAGATGGATTGATGAAAGAGCCTTGAAATTTCATCGCTTTTTTTGAAAATGATCCAGTTTTCATTGCAAATTGGTGGTAATGGACGACTTTTTTTAGTGAAAAGGAGATTTCCTGTTAACTACTGTAGATGGTGCTCCTGCGATGGTAGGTCCGCTATTTTTTGTGCATTTCATGTTTGAAAAATCGTTTTATTCGCTATGCATTGTGCGGCCCATGGACATATTTGGCCGCAAGAAATCGATGATCGCCTGGATCGCTCTTTACCATATATAATCAGAGGCAATGCTCACAATAGCAGATTATTTGAAGATTTTGGCATAGAAAACGACGAAAATGACGAAGATTAGTCGTTCGCGAGACTATAATCTTTTACTACCATAGTCGTTTGCAACTTCATACTTTCTTCATTTAGAAGTTGACTATCAGAAAATCAGAAACCTATTTAAATCGATTTTATGGTCCAATACTCCATTACCATATTGTATCCAGTAATTTTTAGTTTTGATTCTAGTAATTGAATAAACTATCTTCTCGTTTAATAATTGACTCATTCATGAATTCTACTAATTCATCATGGAGTTCATACTTCTTCAAAGAAGGCTGAATTAATAAAATCTCTGCTGTAATTATTTTTCGTTTTTTTAAAGCATTATCAAACATCACTGAAAAGTGAGAACTGTTGTAATATGTCTAATAGGTTATGCCGAATAATTTTAGTAGCTGAAGGGATGTATATAATGCAGTCAAATTTTCAGCGCACATTTGATACATAACCTATTTTTTCAAAGATAGTCAATACTGATAAGAACTTTTTTCCCAAAAAGATTTGCATATTGGGAAGCGTCTGGCAATCTGGATTTTTAGCACATAATAACTTATGGCAAATCAGCAGAATGAACAAAATTAGTAATGGTGTCAAAGATAGTGTTCTTATAAATTCTCGCTTATCATGAATAGCTGAGCTTTGAACCAATAAAAATTGAATTTCCTTGCTAATGATGTGAATAAAAAAACAAATTATTAGGTAATTTTATTAAAATAAAAATATAAATCTAAGATACACCAATTTAGCCAATATGTTGTAAAATTTTGTAAAGAAATTAATAAATTTTATCTGTTTTTTAGCAAAATATTAGTGAATGTTTAAAAAACATTATATAACATAGTCTATAAATAATTTAAATTTAATGGATTGATTTGATCAAATGTTAATAACTGATTCTAATTAACTAATAATTAATTAATAGGATATTTTATATAATGAAAACGAAAACCTTACGTAGAATATTTGGAAATATTGCGCAAAAAATGTGCAAAAAATGAGCAAAAATGTAAATGAGTTAATATTTGATAAAATTACCATCGGAACGAATTGAAACCAAGTCATATAAGAGATGGCGTCAAAAACGAGGATTCCTGATCAATCACACAGCCTAAAGATAAAAGCAAAGGCACCATATATAGGCTTCGACAGTGGAAAAAAAATGGCATATGTAACTTTCGAATATGGCATCGGATCGTCTTTGTGGTAATCTATAGCAGCCACCCAAGCAATTATTATTCAGTGTTAGAACTGTAAGAAAAAACAAGTCGAATTTCTAAAAGAACGCATAATGGTATATTTTGTGAAAAATCATTCAAACAACTGGAAAAAAAGAGGAGAAAAAATGAAATCTATCAATCTCAGTAAAATAAATATATTATACTGAATTTATTGAATTTACAGATAATATGTTTTAATGAAAACTGGCTGATCTGTATGCGTATTTTCACCATCATTATCATCCGAACCATCTGGATCTCCTTTTTTCGTAGTTTCACCACTTTGTTTAATTGTTCCGAGTATTGATGACCCATGCTCAATTTGACTTTTGTTTCCGTCCCCACTTTTATAAGGCTTAGAGCTTTCATTTTTTCGTTCTGCTTCATCTTCTGCACCGTTTTTATTATCTTCTTCCTCAGTTGTTTCTTCTATTTCCTAGAATTTAAATTTAATCAGTTGATAAATTGTTATGACTTCCAAGAAATGAAAATGAAAACCGTCATTAGTTGAATATTATTTGTCGATCCTTTATGGAGTCCAAAATAATCAGCAATATTAGTTCTTGGTTCTTCTGTTCGAGAAACTGTCAGATTATTGGGATCCTCTTCTTCTACTGTACTTAATGAACTTGTTGCTGGTATAGAAAGATCATGACCCGAATCCGAAAAACTTCGACCAAATACGATTCTTTCTGTAAAAAAAAGTGAAACTTATAAAAAATTAAATATTAAGATCGCAACTATGTGATTATACATAAATATAGTTTGGAAAAATTTCATGGAACTGTCTCAACATGTTGGTTTACCCATTGGTTTACCAGAGAAATCAAAACTGATTTGGTTCCTTAATCGCTTGCTAATCGATACAAGTGACATCCATATTTATCATAGGCCAAGTAGTTTCTTTTATAAAACAAAGATAAATAATGTAATTTCTCTCTCTGCCGTAAACCGCTTAATCTTAAGTTAAGATTCTTTTTCTACGGTGGTAAATTTCCTGCTTCTTCATTCAATGTTGTCATTATGTCAACTTTATTCACAATAAAATAATTGTAGCCATCTCAAGTATATAAATTCTTTCAAATAGAAAATCAGATACCTTTATGAAAAGTTGCTTTCAAATTTTTCGAGAAATCTTTCTGAGATGTTGGCTTTATCATTTCTTCATATATTGTACCTAAAAATATTCATTAGATTAATAGATATGCATGATTGTCTATCAAGCAATATTTATCAGAATATATGGTCTAAAAAGAGAAAAATATCTCCATTACTTATATCGGAGCATGTCCGTGGTCCTTCCAAGACACCAAATGCTGAAATTCTTCGTAAATGCTTTTTTGATCCTAAGGAATCAACTGTTTTCGAGCCATCTTCCATTTGACGAAAACTTCTATCATCAAATGATAGCTTTGGTGTTGATCTCGTTAATTTCGATCTCAAATATAAATTGAATCAGTTTTTAAAAATCATAGAATACTTTACCATTTGTATTTTATTATTTATATTTTAATTTTAAGCTGGTTACTACTTCTGCATAAGAAAGATCATAAAGATATGTTGTTTACATAAGATATTAGGCAAACCTTCGCATAGATCCGAAACGATCAACAATGCTTCCTAATCTCCATTTTCTCGAAGTGCGACCAGATGGAGAATGTTGAATACTACTAGTACCATTTGATATGTCGATCGATTTTCGAACAACCATTCTTGTACCTTGGTCCACTTCACCTGAAATGCTAAACACAGAATATGAATATATGAATCGAAAAATTTTTAAAATCAGAATGGGAAAATGTATTAGAATTTTTAAATTATTTATTGCTTAAAAATTGTCATCTGTGCGAAAATGAATTACTTTGAAAGGGTCGCGGACCCAACAAGAGGATTAATTGTTTCTGCAGCTGATTCTTTTGAATAAATTGGTTCAATTTCTTTTGTTGACCAAAATTGATCCTTGGCTAATTCAGGTGCATCATTTGATGCCTCATCGACTATACACAACGCTGTCTGAAATATATCGTAAAGAGCTTAATATACAGATATATGAATTTATTTCAAAAAGTTAACATTATAATGGTAATATTAAAGCAATCGTAAGAAAAATGAACAATTACCTAGAAAAGGGAAAAAGTCATATTGTATTAGTATTTGCATGATTGAAATTTGTTGCTATATACAAAATAAAACAAAATGAAGTGATAAAAAATGTATAAAATCATATATAAACTTGCAGCTAAATTCTTATCGAGAAGAAAATTGCATTCAAAATCGTCGTCGTCCTCACCGAAAGGATTTAAAAGTCCTTCAGCTACTTTCATCCAACCAACAAAAATGAGGAATTCCATCATTGTAACAAATGGCAGAGTAAGATCAACCTGAAAAAAATATAGTAGTAAAAGAAAAGCATTTTTATAGTGAATGAGTTTTTAGCTGGGGTTTTCAGCTTTAGTTTTTAATGAGTTTTTTTTCTAGAATGTAGTTAAGAACAACATTTAGAAGATGAATACTAAAAAACTGCTATTTCTTTTTTATCACGAATTCGACTAAAGAATTAAAATTAATACAACCAAACAATTTTAAATATATTTCTCTCAGTAGAATAATTGTAATCATTTGAATAATCATTTGAGTTTAATTTCTCAAAGGCCAATAAGATTCTTCATTATTCGGGAGAGTTTCCTTTCGACAACTCATTATGCGAAAGCCACCGGATTTCATGTTTAATGGCAAAGAATCAAGCTTACAGTGGCTTAACCACAGTCGAAGCAATGCATCACTCAATAATCACCTCCTATAACGGATTACCAAAGCCTTTTTATATTTATTATAAGCAGTAAATAAATATTATTTTTCTTTTTTTCTACTTCAGTGATAAATTATTTTTGCGAAAAAACTTGACAAACTAATTTTTTTCCTAGAGTAGTTTCTAATCTTCTTAAATTTTAATTTAATTTTGAAAAAATAGCAAGTTACATACATCACTCGTTTTTGACGCAGCTTCTTTATTCACGATAAACTGACGAGATATCAAGCAAATAGCAAAATATACGTATACTGCTAAGAAAACCAGCTGCAAATTAAAATGAAATAAATGAAATAAAATAAATGAAAATAAAAGATTAAGAATTTGATAACTATGGATAAAAAGGGCCTTCCCGAGTGGGGGAATCTAAAAAAAAGAACAATTCAAAAATCCAAGCATCTTATATACTTCAATGAATTTTTCTTTTGAACTAATATTTTTTGCAAATATTTAAAATTTGTTAGAAACTTTTATATTGTTATAAGGTTTTGGTCTATAGGAATCTTACCTGAGGATAAGCGAGGGGAATCGGCACCCAATCGTAATTGCAAAGCATTTGTAAATTATTTCGAAATAATTTTAAATGCTGAAAAACAAAACATTTCACCTTTTTATTAGTGATAACAGACTTGTATTTCAGTGACAAAATTACATTTTACTGGCTTTGATATCTCGTAGTTTTTACATATTGCAATTCATTTCCAACCTGCTTTGCAAATTTTTTTTTATTATCTTGGCGAAACTAGGAAAAATACCGATATATATATATATATATATTAAATACACAAGGTATCGATTTACTTTAGTGACCAATAGGTGGGTGATCGATATGGAAAAAAATAAAGGTATTTTGATCTAAAGCGCAGCCAAAAACTTCTATCTTTTCGGTGGGATCCTTGGGCAAGACTCCCTTAATGCTCACCTGCTCTTTCTCAATAGCAGAGTGTCTCACCACGCCCATCGACCGAACAAATAACACGGAGGAGACAAGATAACCTGGAATTGAGGGAATGCTACGATAATAGTAACCAAAGGGATTGTATAAAGGCACTGTGGATGGAAAAAAAACGTAAGAAAAAGGAAACTTCTCTCTCAGTTGGAAAGTATCAATTTTCCGCTACAGATCCAGAATGTTCAGAGCGGTAAGAGGAAAGAAGAGATGTGTACGCAACAAGCTGGGAAGATGGAAATTGCCTTCCAAAATCTCCGAACAGAGTAGATGACATAAGGCAGAATATCATGAATAGCCGTAATTGATCATCGAGATCGATTACCAAGGGTCAGTGATGGCATTACTTAATAATAATCGAAGATGCAAATAGAACCCTCGCAACAATTCCTACTGCCATTATAACAGAAACTGATGAATTGGTGTACGCCACAGCTATTGTAATTCTCGAAATGCTGGGGCTCAAGAAGAATAACAATTTGACCATGGAGAAGGAAGCTGGAATATAATGATAGAGCACAATGCAAAGAAGTTAGCCATCTAACAGAATTATAAGAAGGTATGAAGAACAAAAATAGCATCCGGAGACTAGGAAAATACAAAATACTCATGAAAAGCCCTCGAGATTGCTAAATAAAGGCTCATAGCACTGGTCATTAGACCAAAGTGCAGTAGAGAAGCAAAAACTAAAAAGATATAAGTATCCTGTTGTTCAAGGAACCGTCCAAAGTGTACTCTCAACTTCAGTGCAATAATATTAATAACAACAAAGTCACCAATTGCAGAAACTATAAAATACTGGTCCGGATATAATTCATATCTACTGGCTAGAGGAGCTAACATAATTCATAAGCACCTAACGATATAGATGAAGTCATCCAGACTGGTCAACACAAAGGAAGGAGGGTATTGATCACAAAAGACCGACCTACAATCTTTCTATCCACAATGTGGAAAGACCTCTCAGGTATCATAGCCATCAAGCTTCATGACCATATGAGCCAGTATATGAATGCAGTTCAAAAAGGCATTGAAAACAACGCCAGATGCTCATAGATAAGGCAGTTGCTCAAGACTCAAAATCTCGGCAGACCAATCTGTACACCTTGGATTGGCTATAGAAAAGCCTACAACTCAATTCTGCATGGATCTGTGAATGTCTGGCTTTATACAAAACCAACAGGACCCCAAAGATGTTCATTGAGAACTCAATGGAACTGTGGCAAACTTCAAATCAACTCGGAACAACTTGACAAGTAGCTATTAAGTTCGACCAGCGATGCCTTATCTTCCCTATTGTTCTGAACCCCCTTAGTCCCCCTTAGTCAGGTAATTATCAGAAGCGAATTCATGAGCGGGATTACACCATCACCATCTTTTCTACATCGGTGACACCAAGTTACAAGCAAATGAACGAGATATTGACTTGCTCATCCATCTAACAGCAAGGAAATTGGGATGTCATTCATGGGAAATGTGGCCGGATGGTGGTAAAAAGAGGAAAAGTAGTAATGACTAATAAGGTGGACCTGCCATTAGGACATATAGTGGACATATAGGCTAGCTACAAATACCTTGGTATCCCACAGTCACATGGTAATGAGGAGGCATGAAAGACTCTACCATTTAAATAAAGGACAAGGCAAATCTTGAAGAGCCAACTCACTGGGAAGGTCAAAAGTCATAAAAATATATAATCGCCCTGCCAATCATCGTATGCAGCTGGCATTGTAAGATGGACAAAGGAAGATATGGAGGTTGCTGATGTAAAAACATGAAACTCCTTACAATTTACAGAAATTTCCACAAGTTAAGATTCCACATCCTCTTGAACGGAACCCGGAGCATTCAGGAATACGACAAGCTCAGTCACCAAAGGATAAGCTGCCAAGAGAATGCCTGAAGCATCTACAAACATTGGAGAAAGATCAAGCAGAGGAAGTACCATGACAAAGCAAGATCCTCCATGAGATGCACTATCAATAGATAGCTGAGGCAGTTGATAATGTGAAATTCTGCTAGTGACTGGAAAAAACCTGAACTAAAAGGCAGTACTGAGACATTGACTATAGCAGCACAATAGCAGGCACGAAACACCACATCCACTGAAGTAAGGATTTACTACACTAGAATTCAAGGTGTGTGTAAAATTGCTCCAGAAACAATCCAACATATAATGGCAGGATGTAAAATGCAAGCACACACATTGAAAGACATAGCTAAATGTCTGGCATCATCTACAGGAATATCTGCTCGATATATGGCTTACATCCTTCTAAGACTAGATGGGAGATTCTTCAGAAAATCGTAGAGAATAATAAGGCAAAGGTACTTCCCAATTCAAAATAAGTACTAGCCAATCAACCAGACATCGTATAGAAGTATCAAGTGACAGGAACGTCAGAAAGAAGAAATATTAGAAGCTAGAGAAATACCATGTGGAAAGCGAAGACTAAATTAATTCCAGTGATAATTGGAGCACTTGGAACTGTGACCTTTAAACTTACCACAAAGAGATTGAGAAAGAGATTTGTTTTAACATATAGATTTTAGATACAAACCTGGTTGGAATTAGGAACTAATAATAAAAGCTTACATCACAAAGTTTGTTGGTGAAAGAATCACTGATAATTTTTCCATCAGCGCGAGCCCTAAAAATTAATGCATATATCCAATTAACTGGAACCCAGTATTTGTTGAAATTTAGTTTCACTGATTCAATTTTTTCTTTTTCGTGTTCAAGCATAAATCCTGAAAACGAAGGTTTAAAATCTCATTTCATCACAATGATTATAAAAATTTTCGTGAAACTACGCCAATTTTACTCTTAAGTACAACTTCGTATTTTCCTAGTCTTCTAGCAAATTTTTTCCTTTTAGTCAATTTTAAGATAGGAATATTCAGTATTTCACAATATTCGAGAAAAAATGGCAATCAAAATCAAAGTATATAAATGAAACGGATGCGAAAAAAGAAATGGTCTATATATATGTCATTTATAATCTCAAAGCTCAACTTATCTACTGAAGGCAATATTCGACACCAAACAGATCTGCCTTACGAATGCAACTATCTATCAGCTATCTATAAACGTCCAACAAAAAAGGTAAGGACAAATATGATTTGCCTAAACACACATTACCAAATGGTATTAATTAACCTTACCAGCTTGAATAATACTGTCATAGGTAGGAAATCGTTTTCTTACACGGACGCTTATGTCTCTATATACAAGTAATTGTGTTAAACAAAGATATCGTGCCATTGTCCTTCGCAGAAGCCGACATTCATCATCTGCTCCATAGACATAACCCCCAATATATAAAGCTGAACTGAAATAACCGTACTCTAAGAAAAAATATTTCGTCAAAAAGTTACAGTTAATGCTTAATTTAAGTTTGAGGTTGCGATAAAGTGTGATTTTATTAAATGTGATTATGTGATTAAATTATTAAAAGTGCGATTCAGCAACCACGCAGGATTTTTTATTTTACTTTCATTGTTTATCACCAAAAATAAATGTTAATTAAACATTTAACGATGTCACAGTTCTCATAAGCTCAATAGTAATTTAATCATAAAATAAATTACTTCATACCTTTCGACATATCCCATATTTTGGAATAATATGGACCACCTTTTAACGATAATTTGAACAAAAAATCCAAGCATAAACGTCAGTGGAATATATTTAAGATGAGAATCAAAATAAACTGCTAACTGTTCAAAAACACTGAAAATTGGTAAAGTTTTCAAAATTAAAGAAATTTTTTGAATTCCTACAAATTTAGAGGTAATGAACGAGTTCTTGTTTGCCTATTTTCTTACAAAATCTTATTTGTGCTTCAAATACTTTCTTCTATGATTTATTCTCTAATCTCGACATTTATTCGCTTCAAATTTAATGTTACACAAATATTGGGAAATTTAAAATTAGTATGGGATATTTAAATCGAACTAAAAAAAAAACCAAAATCGTCCTTAATGATTCCTTTCAATCATTGCGAAAATTCATTTCTGCAATAAGGAAGGTTTTTTTTAGCGAATTTCTGTTGAAAGTAATATTGCTAATGCTAAAAGTATAAATATAATATAAATTTAGGGAAAAACCATACGTTTTTTGATAATCATTGAGAAAATAAGGTGTTCGATAAACAAAAGTGATCAACAGAAATGCAATAGTCCACACTAACAGTTCTTTTAAACATATTTTCCAAATACTTGCCTTCCAACGAAATATTAAACGAAAAAAATTCAGCGGTGATGCAGATGCGACATCAAGATTATATGAAATAGTCATCGTTCAGTGCTTTAATGACAACTATTAAATGGTTAAATAAACATAAATTTTTTATTCATACTGTTCTTTACTGGAATAAATTATCTAAACATATAAATGTAATGTAAACATATGTATACCTACAATAATATATTACTGAAAAATTTATGCAGTGGTGGTGATCCTTCTGTTCTTCTGTTCTGTTCCTACTCACAGGTGAAACTGTTTCATCCCAACAGCCAGTAAAATGAGTCTGATCAGAAATATTGAGTACTTAATTTAAAAGGAAACTATTTAGTATTTAAAATTAGTAATACTAGTGCCTTATTAACTATAAATTAATAAATAATTAAATTCAGTTCATTGCCTATACAAATATTCTTCTATTACTAACATTTTTTACTACTGTTCCACATTTTCTTCCACATTTTTCATATACAACCTTTAATTTTTGACCATTGTCTTTTAAATCCAATATTCTGATGCAACACAGCATACTAAATAAATGAATAAGGCCGAACCTAATTAACTGTTTCTATCGAATAATTGATTTTACATCCTGTAAATCACCAAATGGTTACTTTCTTTTAAATTTTTCGCAGCCATTAACTCATAATAAATCCAACGCCATTTGCTTTAAAACGATCCATAAAAGGCAAATTTAACAATAAGGCAAATTTTTACGAAGGAATTATCGAATATCTCGATGAAAACCCAAATAAAATAAAATTCCTCACCTATTACAAATAAAATATTTGAAATCCTAAACTATATGAAGTAATATTGCTTGAGAAAAAATTTTCACCATTACTCTTTATATGATAATGAAACAAAAAAAATAACAATTCTGCGAGATTTCTTAACTTCACATATAATTCTGGTTTCCACAAGTCTAGTTATTCACCATCTATTTTTTTTCTCCTGTTCAATTCCTAAACGATGCTATAAAACAATTACTTTTTTTATATTGAGCCTATGCGTTACTTAAAAAAAAACAAAAAACGGCTAGATTATAAAATTATTATGCATATATATAAATAAATATCTAGCTTAGTGTATGTAAACTGGTTGACGCTCACCATTTCTGGTTAAGCTAACTCTTTTGACTATTAGAAATTTTGCCATGAAATCGCTTGATAGTATAGAAGTATGGCTGGATGCATCTTCAGAAGTAGGATCTGAACCTCGACCTCTCAATATACCTAAGTAATCTAAGTCACTATTCTATGAAGATTCTTATGAAATTTGAGATTTATTACTGGAATTTCCTTCAAAATTTTAATTTTTATTATTTGTCATGTCACTTAATTTTCCATGATTCAATGTTTTTATCTGTTGTTGAAGACAAAAAAAAATTCCATCCTTACGATAATTTGTTCCATATTAAATCGATGTAATAATTTCAAAGTAATTTTGACCAATTATAAAAATAAAAAGTAAAATAAAGTAAAAAAAAAACTCTCTGCTCTCAATGTTTCTGGCTAGCTTCGCTCCACTGGCTGTTAGTACGGCACAGACATTTTTCCCAAGAAGTAATTTAGCAATCAGTTGATTAGCCAGTATTATCTGGATCTTTTAATGATAAATTTATTTATGCTGGATGGGTTCGAATTGATGCTTAGAATGATAATCTAAGCAACAACCACTTGGCTACTGTGGCTCCAACTTTAATCAATTAATTTTAGCTAATAAAAAATAGTTGCAAAAATTTTATGAAGATAAAAAACCTTAAAATTTGTTTAATAGGCTTAATAAATTCATGTAAAAGAATAAAAGAAGTATTTTTTTAAAGAAAATTCAAAAAATCAACCTGGCAATCAATAGAATCGAAGAATTAAACAAAATATTTTGATAACTCAGCAGCAGCAATTCAAAATGCACCACATTCAATGACAATACGATACCACAATTGTAACCGTTGTTGACAAACTGTGAAAGTCGTTTTATTGATTGTGAAAGAATATAAATTTCAATTTTCAATTATAAAAATTTAAAAAAATATTGAATTGCGATCGTTGAACGTATCAATTTGTTAATTGAACAGAGTCTGTATAAGGGTCAGAAAAAATGACAAAATAGTAATCTTGCCAATTGGACACGAAGATATTTGTAATATAATTTTAGTCTTTGACACTTCTTTTTTTTAAAGAGTTTTCATCATTACTGGTTGAACTCGCTCCGCTGGCTTGTCGCCGGATGGTCCCTTGGCGGTAAAAATGCAGTTGAGCCGCCAGCATCACCCGGATTTTTGGACAGGTTTATTTCTGCAGGAAATTGAACCTTAGTATTGGCGCTTCAAACTGAGCAACAGCTCACTAAGCCGTCCTATCCCGATTCTTTGATATTTACAAAAATAAGAATGGGGCACAAGAATAGGTCGTCGGTCGCCTTTTTTGATCAATTTTCCGAAGGAAGCCATAATTTGCAGTTTTTCACCGATCTTGAATACATCGATCCGCAAAGGCGCTATATCGAATGTCAACAGCATCAGTGAAATTAATGCATTTTTCGTCTTATATCCCAGGCGCTGTTAGAATTATGATTCAAATAAATTCATCAGCGACTGAAAAAAAGCAAATTTTAAATATCTCACTATCATCCTAATGGCCAGAGGATAAAAGAAATTTTAGCTCAGATAGCCAGAGGTACTTTCGTCTAGCCAAACCTCAGAATAAAAGTTCACATTCATATGGCTTTAGTGCGTATAATCGAGTTTTACGGCTACAAAACTTGGCTAGTGAAAGTTGAAAATGTCAGAAAGCTATCTCTCTACTTCTAAACCCAATAGGAAATAAAATATTTCAGTTCTTAAGAATACAGCGAACTGCCAGCAGAACAAGAAATAATCTGCCACTTTGGACCAATAAGACTGCGGGAGTAGATGGTCTTTGGGCTGAACTGTTCCAGTATTGCACATCATTCTTCATAACGCACCTTCAACAAATGTACATTCGAAATAATAATAGATGAGCGGAACAAAGCAATAGTCCTGTCAATTCCCAAGAAAGATGATAGGACATAATGTGAAAATTAGAAGGAACTAGCCTATTAGAAATCTCAGCGAAATTTTTGCCTTCTTCCCTTCCTCCTACTGAATAGACTTATGACAGTATGTGACAGCAGGATGCATCTTAATCAAGCTAAATTTAGACTGGGGCTCGGCTGTGCTGACCAAATATTCACGTTATATATACTTAAGATGTATGAATCAATCCCCAGAGCATAATATTACAGAAATATGCTGATGATGTAGTTCTGATAGTTATGATAGAAATGAAAATAAACAATGTGTCAACAACTGCACCGAAAATCATAATCAATGTAAATAAAACGAAAATCTTTTCGTTTTATAGAATAGAAGCTGATAAAGTACTTATTTTTATCAATTGCTGGTTGAGGAATTGCTGGTAGGTTTTAAATATTTTGGATCCACTCTGTCCCAAACAGCCAAGCGAAGGATAAAATTAAAATTCGGATAAAAGTAGCTAGAAATGTATTCTTCGGGTTAGCAAGACCTTTATGGAGTAACCTCGAAATGTGAAAAAAAAGGTGGATGCAATCATGTGAGATTTTATCCACTCGGCGTAAAATATATTTTAGACATAAATGAATGGTCAAAGGCAGAGAACTTATTAATATCCTCCACTCTCAATGGCCAACGCAGCAGTTGCTGACACGTTTAACATTATTTACATTTCATTATTACTATCAGAAAGGACCACATCACCAGCCTATTCAAGATATATGATACGATGCTTCGGACTAATTTGTACACCTCTTGAGTGCCGACAAGCGGTGTCCATTATCCAATTTAATGCATAGTTGAATATTGTAGAGAAAAGGACACAGCATTGATGGGAACCAGTTCTTATTTCGAAAGGGTTTATTAGTTCCCCATACATACAAACCTGTACCGATATAAGATAAAATGCCTGATAAAATGCCTTTACGAGTCAAATGATCTTTGAAACACCGTCGCGTTCCATCATCTTCCAAAGCCCCGTTCTATCAATTGAATCGAATGCAGTTGCAAAGTCGACGCAACGGTGTGCTGCAGATATTTGAAATAATGTTCAACACCTTTCTTAACGTGAATATTTGATCAGTACAGCCGCGCCCTAGTCTAAATTTAGCTTAATTAAGACGCATCCCGCTATCTCATACTGCCATAAGTCTATTCAGTAGGAGGAAGGCAAAAATTTTCCTGAAAATGTTTAGCAGTATTCTCGGTAATTATCCCATATCTTGTCACCTTTCTTAGGAATTCAGAGTATAATTGTTATGCTTCAGTCATCTGCTATTATTTCATACATTTATTGAAGTTGTGATATGAATGACGATGGACTATAGTTTGACTCTAGATCATCTTCCCCCTTAAGCTTCTGAGTGGCAGATCATTTCTTATTCTGCTGGTAATTTATAAATTATATACGAGCGATTTCCTCTATACGAGCGATTATGTTCGGGGCAGTTAAGTTTGGCCTCAAAGAATTCTTTCAGCCTTATAAGCCTTAATAGGCACACCATTGTTATCACGTATCATTTCACTGACCTTTCTCCGAGTTATAAATGCTTTATGAAGAAGGCGGAATAGTTTCCTATTATCATCTAATCAAGCCCACCGTCTCCATTCTTAAAGCCGTGCTGCAATTATTGTGATTCTTTGATGCATCCAATAATCAGAATCTCCAGAGATTCTGCTTTGGCAGCCTTTTCAAACAGTTGAACAATTGCTTCCGACACCCAATTAGAATTCCTACTAGCATATTCTAGTGTGGAATTGGCTGACTTTCGGAAACATTCTTTTAGTTGTGGTCAATATTCATCCACAATTCGATCTTTTTAAGATCTTTTAAATAATTTGACTGTTCCAGAGATGATATTCATTTCACCGGAGTGCTTCAACAATTGGCATTCACTATTTCCGAATCTTTTAATTTTTGTAAAAAGATTATTCGATCAAATGAGATTTCTAAAAACGAAAGACAATTTAAAATAATTGAAAGACAGTTAAAAGATCGTGGGAGACATTGTTTCTTGCGAGTTATCAGTTCTATGTGAATCTTGGCTCAAACCTTAGCATCTGATCTATGAAGGTTACTAGTTTACCAGTTTCAGTACCGCAACAGGAACGACTATCTAATACGGAACTCTCCCAACGACGACTTACTAAGACATAATCAATCTGGTTGGAGCATTGATCACCTGAAGAGTTCCACACGACGAAAAGTCTTTTACGATACTGGAAACATATTAAAAGAAAAAGTTCACGCTATTCGATGCGAGAAAGGCTTTCTCCATTGATGCACCGGGTGTTTAATTAATTATCCTTATTGATAACCAGCCAAGCAGGGCGACAACGCCATGTGCTTGTATTAATAATAACAGAAAAAGAAAACACAAAAAAAAATAACATAAACAAAATTAATTATAAAACAATATGATAAAAATTAACAATTTCAAGAGGAAATTACAGATCAATATAATATAGTACAATTCGAATTAACATATATAACCTGAAGATAAAATCGAGATTTCTCACTTCCTACAGTTCTTGCCTGGTGTAAACTCTTCTCTTATTTTTTTTTTTTAAATAAAATCGTAAATGATATTATCTAGTCTTTTTTTAAAGACAGCTAAGGATGACGCACAAGCTACATCGTTCGGCAGTTTGTTCCAGTAGTTAATAGTACGAATAAAGAAGTCATGGGTCCTTAGTTTAGTTTTGCATATAGGTTTTAGTAATTTTAAGCCATTAGTTCTTGTTGGATTCAAATTTAGTCTAAAGTTATAATATTTCGAGCAATCTAGTTTAACATAACCATACAGAATCTTATATGTGTAAATTAAATCTTGTTTAATTCTACGAACTGAGAGAGAATCCATGTTATGTTGTAGAAGTGTTCTTTTATAATTAAAATTAAATTTTTGTTAGGAGAGAGGCGTCGTAGAAAATATTTTCGGAGTCCTTCAATTATTTTACCTGTTTTGCGATGTCTAGGGGAGTACTGTAATCAAGAAGAGACCGAACGAATGTTTTGTATAATTTGATAAGAAAACTTTCAGTTTTGTTCTAAACGAACGAAAAATAAAATTTAGTATCCTTGAGGATTTCTTTACTATGGTTCTACAGATCTGAAGATCGAAATCGAGATTTTCATCCATGATTATTCCAAGATCGGAGATGTGTGAGACTCTATTGATTAAATTACCATTTATAAAAAGGTTAGGAAGATCGAATCTTTTAGAGTTGATGTGAAGAACGCTACATTTTTGAAAGGAAAGGGTAATTTGCCTGTCGTATAGCCAGTCAGCTATTCTGTTGAGGTCCTCCTGCAGTGGAGATAGGCTATCCGTTCTACCATGAGAATAATAAATTTTACAATCATTAGCATAAAGATAAATAGTAGAATTTATTACCACTGTGGTGATATCATTTATATATAATAGAAATAGCAATGGCGCAATACAATTGCCTTGGGGAACGATTGATTTAGCAGGTATCATGTCAGAAAGAGTGTTGTTAACATATACAGCCTGGTAACGATCTTTTATGTAATCTGAAACCCAGTTATAGAGGTCCCCTGTTATGCCATAACTATTAAGAGTGACCAATAATTTGCTATGGGAAACAGTATCAAAAGCCTTAGCCAAATCTAGATACACAACTGATACTATTTTTCCATTGTCAATTGATGCTGACCAATCAGAGAGATTTGCCAATATTTGTGAAGAAGTAGATTTTTTTGTACAAAAGCCATGCTGATAAGAAGATATAAAATTATTGGCATCAAGATAAATAAGCAATTTGTTGCAAATCAACCTTTCAAGTACCTTGCTACCAACACATGTTAAGCTAATAGGTCTGTAATTAGAAGCGTCATAGGTGCTTCCTTTTTTATGAATGGGAACTATATGGGACAATTTCCAAATTTTGGGATTAAGGCCAGACTTCATAATATCTTTATAAATTAAAAATAGGGGAAGACTCAGAGAGACTGCGCATTTTTATAAATTATTTGTGGAATGTTATCGGGAAATGGACGGCTTAAGTCTATTTAAGGCATCACAAACATCCAGTAGTGTTATTTCAATCTCGCAGAGAGAAGTGCAACAAATTCGATTTACGTTAAAACAGGAAATATGAGTATTATCCTTAGTAAACACACTAGAAAAATGCTGATTAAATACATTTGCAATATCAATATCAGAGGTGATCACATTATCATTATGTTGCAGAATTAATTGTTTACATGGATTTGAAAATTTTCTTTTGATATAGGTCCAGAAAGAATTTCTATCAATATTTAAAAGTTGTTCTTCTTTATTTAAAAAGTAATTATGAATGGCGCTACGGAAACTTTTTAAGCTTTCTTTATATGCAGAGAGGTCATTTGGCAATTTGGTTAATTGATATTTATTATAAAGCTTCTTGACAATTTTCTTAAAGGATTTTTGAAAAGTGGGAATCGACCTAAGTGGGTTCGTTTTTCTTAAAGAGATATATTGGTCTATTAGATATAAAATGTTGCTATTAAGAAAATTAACTTTTTCATCGATAGAGGGAGTTAAACAGAATAAGAAATCACAGTTTATTTCTGCGAGGATAGAGTTAAAGATTTCATAATTACAGTGACGGTAACTTCTAGAAAATCTCGAGGGAGGTGAATAACGGTCTAATTTTAATGAAGCATGAATGATATTGTGATCAATTTTACAAAAAGGTTCCAAGACTCTAATACTATCAACAAGAGAGGTAGGGGTAGCTAACACAACATCTAATATAGTGTTGTACCTAGTGGCGACCTTAACATGTTGCTATAGACCAACATAGGTACAAAAGTTTAGAAAGTCTCAAATTTATTGCTACTTTTTAAACAACTATTTTCCCAATCTATGTTTGGCATATTAAGAGGAGCAAACATAATCATCAAAGGTTATAAATTTATAACCGTGTCGCCGAATGGCAAAAAAATCTGTAGATTTGAGCAAATCATCCGGATTCTCGCCCATCTTAAATTAAATATAAGCTCCCAAAAGATCATTTTTGGTCATTTTGTGCTTCTTCTATTAGGGGAAACGAGTGGGGGAGCGGTAGCTGAGTGATGGGCATTTAGATCTTATATTTGATTTTATTTTATTGTATTATTTCTATGCAATAGGGCATTGCTTCGCTTTGTTTTCTTGTATATATTTGCTCTTTACTAATAAAGGTTTAATTACCCAAGTTTAAGGCTCGCAAAAATAAGAAGTAAATAAGTAAGAAGAAAAGTGAAAAGTAGAACGCTGGCAGCAGAGTTTATAATACTAATAAGAAACAAAAGTCCCGCGTAGTATCCTGCTTGTAGCCAGGTTGAATAATTGCTCGAAACTGGAAGTGAGGAAGACAGACTTCCGACAAGTAGGCAACAATTATATTTGGAAAGAATGTGGACAGTAATCCCTTTGATTGCAATGGCTAAGCATTCTGACGTCCCACGGCTAATATCCCTCCACGCCTGCAGAGCCGTTTCTTTTTAACAGGTTTCGAGCAATTATCCTGGCTCTTGAGCAGATCACATTCTCAAGCCTTGAGGCCATTTGATTACGTCCGGATTGCATACTTGTTTAAATGCACCACCAGGATAGAAATGTCGTGGGCGCCCGAAGGCCTCTATCACGCCGTGTCAAAAAAATCAGGGCTATTTTCTTTATGCTTTTCTTTTTTCAGCGTAAAATAAAATAATAAATGACCTATTCAAAAAAAACTTTTATTTATTGGTCTTACAACGATTGTTCGCATTTGTATTTTTTTACTTACGTTTTTGATTTTAATGTTTTAGCAATTTGTGGTTGGTGAAGAAAATTTTCTGGTTTTTTCGATTTAAAGGAAGGATTTGGAAAGTGAAAATTTTTCAAAAACTTAACTATATTTAGATAAAAGAATTAATTAAAGAAAAGAATAGGTTAGGAATTATCCAAATGGGTTTTTTTTGAGATCTAATTTAAATTTGCTTATTGTTTGTTGGTTTTTAATTTTATTTTTATTTTCACTGTTATTGTTGTTAGATTTCAGTCTATTCTAATTATTTCGATTGTTTCGAAACTTCTAAAGTATTTTTGGAAAAGTCAAATTTAATAAAAATTTTTCGAAAACTTTTTTGGTTATATTTTTGCTAATTGCGCTTAATTGACTGACACCCAGTTTCGCTGTATTTGCAATAATGTTTTATTGTCAAGGAATAATTGATTTTCTACTTTTAGGAATAAAAATTGTAAAAACAGGACATATAAATAAAAACAAAGTAAAAAACATTTATTGTTCTCAAATCATCGATATTCTTTAATGTGTACAACGTTAATGAATTTCTTGAAAATGCCATCAATTGGTACGCACAGTGGAAAATTTCATTGCGATGAAGTTCTTTTTTTCACTGATATTTGTTTTTCTTAAAATATTTGTTTGTATAAGTTTTATATATAAGATAAAGTAGCCAAAATTGACCATTCTCGACCAGGGAATTTCAGCAAAACCCACAGTTGTTGCGCATACGATAATTGCATACTTACTTGTAGGTTTTATGCGAAATGGCAACTGTCAAATATGTAGCTGCAAGTTATTGTTATGAACTATAACATTATAATATCCGTCATGTCATCTCACTATAAAATTTATTAATTTCCCATTTAATAATTTTTCATTAAATTAGAAAAAATTTCAGGTACTTGCTTGTTCTCTGCTTCGTTGTCTCAGTGATTTTAAAAATTACGAAATTATTCGGTGATTATCTTTTTCTTGTTCGTGCTTTTTTTTGATTACGACTTTTTTCTTTGGTTAAACTTTTGTTAAATTTCATCACATGCTTCTCAATGAAACTCAATTTTATTGAATTTGAGGTCAAGGAATCCTGTTCTTTTAAATAAGTGCGATATTGTTGTAGATGTAGGTGGTGAATACGATCATCTCAAAAGGCGTTATGATCATCATCAAAGGTGGCTTGTAATTTGCTTTTTGCCCTTCATCATTTAACAACTCGCACCATTTCTACTTTCAGTTTCATAGGCCACTAGAATAAAGTTTTTATTTTATTTATTTAGTATTTCTTTTTATTTATTTATGAGTCTGTTTATTTACAGATGAACTGTTTCAGTTCATTCAACCACAGTATGAAATCTTTAAATCTACTAGATTTCAACACCAAATTGAGCTCGGCTGGTCTCATATATGCGCATTATGGTAAAAAAATAATTGAAGAAATATGTGGTCTTGATCAGAACCCTGCAATTGTTGAAATTCTCTATGAAAAAGTTTACGAATCTTTTGTTGAGGCTGTTGATGCTATTGATAATGGTATAGCACAATTCGATGGCATTCCAAGGTTAATCATTTTCATCACAATCATTTAGATACAGGTTCATTATATGAAGTTGTTCTATTTTTAATTTCTATCTAGAAATATTTGTCTAATAAAAATTAACCTTTACGTGTGAAAAATCATTATTCAGATATAAACTCGGTGGAACTCTTTCTGATCGAGTAAATCGTCTTAATCGATCGTGGAATCAAATCGATTATGATGAGAACGCGAAGTATTTTTTAATTTGAAAGAATTCACACATTCTTCATTTTTTTATCCATCAGTGTAATCTAGGTTTCTGGAAGCTATGAACTTGGTCCAGAATGAATTCTGTGAATGCCTAAATTATTACTATAAAACTTGGTTGCCCGCAAGAACTGTCGTCAAAAAATCTTTGGAAAATCGGTTTCAGGTATTTGTTGGTTTGTATGTATTCTTTAATTTTTACTATTTTTGCAATACTCTATCTGATTTATGTAATTTCTAAATTTAGTATATAGCACTTGATTAATATGGTATTTTTAAGACTGATGAAAGTGGTCAAATTATCTTGCTTGAAATGTGCGTCCCTTGGACTGAACATTTTCTTGAACTAGAAAAGGAATTAAGTTTGGATGTTCATGAAATCACTTATATTGTTTATCAAGATCCGACGAGTGGCCAGTGGAGGGTTCAGTCAATACCCATCGATAAAAAATCAGCGTTTAAAAATCGGTTATTATTCATGAAATTTTTTGCGTCCAAAATAAGGTCGTCACTTTTTATCTATTTTCAGCATTTCATTTTATATATGAAATATAAAATGTGCAGGGACATTCGGAATTTTTTATCAAACTGTTTTATTTGGGCCATTTCGCAAAGAAATTTAAAGTTGTTTTATTGTACAACCAAAAATAATTTTTTGTTATCTTGAAACTCTATATGCAGACTTCCACTTGCGGAATCATGGCGTGGTTTACGTGATGCTGAATTATCATCTGTGGCGGGAATCAATGGTTGTGTCTTTGTGCATATGAGTGGTTTTATAGGTGGTAATGAAACACGCACTGGTGCACTTGATATGGCCCGAAAATCATTGGCATTGGCTGGCAAATACAAACACTAATGCCTTTCTAAATTAACTCTTCTTTTATGTATGTTTGAAACATTTTCAAGCAAACAACTGAGTTTGGTTTCAAACAACTTTTTTGGTTTCAAACAACTGAGTCATTCAATTTTCTAATTTTCTAATTTTAGTTTATTTCCTTCGTGCTGTGTTTTTTTTTCAGATTATCTGGATTAATTTTTAAGTCTTTTAATTTCCTTTTTTTTTAGTGATTATTTAGTAATTTGTTCATTTCGTCCTAATTTTTGACGCATTTCCTTGTTTCTGTGGATTGTTGTACCGAGCTAAATTGTCTCTTTACTTTCAAATTCTCAAAAAAATCCACTAAATCATGTTGAAGGACAAAACAGTTCCGAGCGGGAAACTCAAAAGTTAGCAGAAGCGGAAAGGATATACGAATGAACAGATCCATTTAAACTTTATCGTAAAAGCAATGCTACTTCATTGCAAATATCTTTAAGAAACGCGTTGATTTTTGATTTCTTAGTCGTTTCTTTTACTTGTTCGATAATTTTTTTTCTTCATTTGATCAGCCAACTTCATTATTTCTGCAAAAATTTTGAGCATATAATAATAGGTGCATAAACTTCCTGGATTTTCGTCAATATTTGTAGAAATTATAAAAATTTATTTTAATAAGCTAAATTACTAATTGCTTAAAGGTTTAGTGCAAAGAAAATGTTTGAGAATGTTAGACTATCATAAGGGATTTTTTATGGGTGTCATATAGTCAGTAGGTGGAGGTAGGGGTGCAGTTGGGCTTCTAGAAGTTGAAGTGTCGATTTCAATAAATCAAAAAAATTGAGATGCGAAAATAAGAAAAATGAAATTAGCGAGAGGAATATGAATGGGGAATGGGATTTGTGAATAAAATGCCCTCGTAATTGACCAGTAGTACCCCTCATGATGCTTGTTTTATTTTTTGTTATTACGAAATATGTTATCTTTATTTACATATAGAAAAATTGAAAACCTTATATATAATCAGTAGAAAACAATCAGAATGTACCCCGACAAATAGAGCCATTTCTTTCCTTAACCTCGTACCATCTACCAGCTATCAAAGAGTTTGAAGAGTTTTAGCGCATTTTTTTGGATATTTTTATCATTTCACTCTACTGAGCAAAGATCTATGATGTTATTACTGGCATCTGTTGGAGTCACTTTTCCAGGCTAGAAATCAGCGCTAGAGTGCTTCATCACTGGAATACATACTTTATAACATACTTTCTATTTATTTCTATTCTCTAGTTCTTTTGGGCGCTGGTATTTCTCTTGCTTCTTATATTCCTTCTGATTTTCCTGTCATTTAGTAGTGCTACATTACCTACTACTACTGCTACCCACTGCTGTTTTCTGGCTCTTGTCTATTGCTACGATGTGCTTGTTCTGGATTGCGAACTTCCATAAGATCTTAGTGCTTATTCTCCACGATTTTCTATGGAATTAGTTTAGCTCTTACGCAGATGTTCTGTAGACCAAGATTTCTTAATATTTTTCTTGCATGGACGCCCATGAGCAAAAATTTTTCTCATCTGCCTTTTTCAAGAAATCATTTTGAGAGAGAAAGCCGAGAATAACCGATCGAACTAAGGTTTGCCAGCTTCAAGAAGAAATTCTGTTAGAGGATTAAATTTGGATACTGGGAATCTTATTTTTAAGGAATACCGCAATATTCCCCAAAATTGCAAGCGCATCACCTCATGAAGAACCTTTATCAATCCACGGTTTCTTGATTATAAATAGCTTCAATAATTTTACTTCAATCCCCTTTTGCAATTAATATTTTTTATTCGCTTTTCTCTTTATTTCGTTATTTCGCAA